ACTCTGGGGGTGCTGCGCGAGTGGGTGCTGAGCCTGGGGGTACTGAGCTTGGGGGTGCTACGACTGGGGGTGCTGAGCCTTGGGGTCCTTCGCCTGGGGGTGCTGCGTCTGGAGCTGCTGAGCCTGGGGGTGCTGCGTCTGGAGCTGCTAAGCCTGGGGGTACTGAGTCTGGAGCTACTGAGCTTGGGGGTGCGAAGCCCGAGGCCGCTGGACCTGCTGGTGTGGCGTCTGGCGGTACTGGGCCTGGTGGTTCTCCGGGTGCTTCGTCTCGGCGGGAGCCACTCTCTCCACAGGAGCTGCGCGAGTGGTTTGCCCGGCGCTGGAGGCGTACTCCTGGAGCTGGTGCTTCTTCGGCTGCTGAGGGTGCTGGTGCCGCCGGTCTCGGAGGTGCTAGCCCTGGGAGTGCTGGAGCTGCTGGGCCTGCGAGTGCGACTGGAGTCGGAGCTGCTGAGGGTGTTGGCGCTGAGGCTACTGCTGTCAGTCCTAGCGGCGGTCCTGCTGCGGGTGCTGTTGGTGCTGCTGGAGGTACTGGAGCAGGAGGTGCTGTTGGCGCTGGTGCTGCCACTGGGGGTGCTGGTGCTGTCCCTGCTGTGTCTAGAGTCGCCGCGCGGCCCCGGCCGTACTTTGTTCCGCTCCTTCAGCAGGTTCTTGGTCTTCCTCCTCCCTTAGAGTGTCCACCGCCTGTCCAGTCACAGTCACAGTTACCGTCGGCCTCCCCACTGCCTGCTCCTTCTCCCTACACTGGTCCTACTGGAGGTCTTACTGAGCGTCGTGAGCCTGCGTCTCGTCCTGCGTCGCCGGTTCGTACTGCTCGCGCTAGTGGTCGCGGTTCGCGTCAGCGTCCTCCTCCTGTCCCTGGCACGCACCGGATGTCTCTGCGTCCGTCCACTGCTCCTCTGCGTGCCCCTTTGCCTTCTCCTCCTGAGTCCTCTCTTCCTGCTCTTGCCGACCCGGAGTCGGACTCTCTTCGTGCTGCCAGTCCTACTGTCACGCGTCTCCTTGCTACTGTCGTCACTGACCCCTCTTTTGAGTCCACTGCTGCGTGTGCTCTTGTTTCTGAGCTCGTCGACTTTGCTGCTCACTGTCGTCTAGACTACGCTGCTAGTCTCGTTGCTGAGTCTGCGTCTGTCTGTCCTCCGTCCGTCGGGGGTGAGTGTGCTCTTGGCACGGACGTCCTTGAGGACAGGCAGGAGGAGTTCCAGTGTCTTGCTGCTGCTTCACCTCATCTCGTGTCCGTACTGCTTACCCCTGAGGGAGACCCGGATGCACTTGACATCCCGACTCCGCGCTCTTACGCGGAGGCCGTAGAGGGTCCCTACTCCTCTCAGTGGTAGACAGCTATGGATGCAGAGATGGCTTCCTGGAAGTCCACAGGCACCTACATTGACGCGGTTCCCCCACCTGGGGCGAATATCGTCAGTGGCATGTGGATCTTCAGGGTGAAGCGGCCGCTGGGCTCTCCGCCTGTCTTCAAGGCGCGCTACGTGGCTCGTGGCTTCAGTCAGCGGCAGGGAGTTGACTACTTTCAGACCTTCTCTCCCACCCCGAAGATGACCACTCTTCGGGTACTGCTACACATAGCCACTCAGCGTGACTACGAGCTTCACTCCCTTGACTTCAGCACTGCTTTCCTGCAGGGTAGCCTGCACGAGGAGATCTAGCTGCGCCGTCCACCTGGCTTCACTGGAACTTTCCCTCCTTGCACCCAGTGGAGCCTCCGATGGCCAGTCTACGGTCTCCGCCAGGCACCGTGCGAGTGGCACGACACACTGAGGACTACGCTTGCGGCTCTTGGGTTTGCTCCCTCTACTGCTGACCCGTCGCTGTTTCTACGCACCGACACCTCTTTGCCGCCGTTCTACATCCTCGTGTACGTCGACGACTTGGTCTTTGCCACTGCTGACACTGCTGGACTCGCCCACGTGAAGTCTGAGCTACAGAAGAGACACACGTGCACAGACCTGGGTGAACTGCGCAGCTACCTTGGCTTGCAGATCACCCGGGACAGAGCACGCCGCACCATTACCCTGACTCAGTCACACAAGGTGCAGCAGGTCCTTCAGCGCTTCGGCTTCACGTACTCCTCGCCTCAGGCCACTCCTCTGTCTACTCGCCACTCGCTCTCAGCTCTGCCTTCGGATGAGTCCGTAGAGTCGAGTGGCCCGTACCCAGAGCTTGTTGACTGCCTCATGTACCTGATGACCTGCACACGACCTGACCTTGCATACCCTCTTAGCATTCTTGCACGCTATGTTGCTCCTGGGAGACACAGACCAGAGCACATGGCTGCAGCGAAGAGGGTGTTGCGCTACTTGTGCAGTACGTCGGGCATGGGGCTAGTGCTTGGAGGGCAGAGTCCAGTGGTCCTCACTGGGCACGCGGACGCTTCTTGGGCTGACGACCAGGCTACGCAGCGGTCGTCATAGGGTTACACCTTCAGCCTTGGTTCCGGCTCTGTTTCGTGGCGGGCTACTCGCTCGTCTTCTGTTCTCGGCTCCAGTTGTGAGGTTGAGATCTACGCCGGGGCCATGGCTGCACAGGAGCTTCGCTGGCTCACCTACCTGCTGACCAACCTTGGAGAGCCGCCTCGTTGTCCTCCAGTCCTGTACGTAGACAACAAGGCCATGCTGGCCTTGTGTCGAGAGCAGAGACTGGAGCACAGAACAAAGCACATTGCTCTTCGCTACTTCCTTGCTCGTGAGCTACAGCAGCGTGGTCAGTTGCGGCTTGCGTACGTGGCCTCTGAGGCCAACACTGCTGATGTTTTCACCAAGGCACTTGCGCCTTGTGATCATCAGCGCTTCTGTACTCAGCTTGGTCTTGTGCGTGTCTTGCCTCACTTGCTCACTTCTTGACCTTGCTTGTACTGTCACATATATATACACCTGCTCTTGTTTGCTTAGCCTCTTATATATATATATATATGTGCTCCTGCATGTGAACTGGCCTTCTGGCCTTGAACTTGTGCTCGGAATGTGTGGTGACTTTGTGATCCACCCTGAGCTTTGCTTTGCTTTGCTTGACTGGTCTTGTGGCCCCTTGTTCTTGTCAGAATATTATCTTATTGTTCTAGCCTGTAGTGGGGTGCTCTATAGCGAGTACAATCCTTCTAGGGTTTGCTATTTGTATCCTCATTCTTGCTAGTTCAACCCCTCTTTCTTTCTTCTAATTTTGTCAGTTCTCCCCCACTTTGCCTATGGGGGTGTGTCAAATTATAATGTTGTCTAGGTTTTAATGGGGTAGCCCATATGGGGTACACATTTCTAGGGTTGCATATTTGTATCACTTTCATTCCATAGTCATTCATTCTCGTTCTACTTTCCTCAGAGCCTCGCAGGCCCGGTTGAGCGTCGCCCAGGGGGCCGTGGTGCCTGGCTCGGCAGGGCTCATGATTCAAGTGGCGTGGCACAAGTGCACCGTGGCCGCCGAGCCAACAGGTCGACGTCACGCCCCCTGGCCTCGGTCGGCCAGGGAACTCAAGTTCGCATGCGCGCGGTGCGACGTTTCGGCACCACGTGTCGATTTCATAGCGGGTCGCGAAAACCGTGCGGCCCGGTGCGAGCGACCCAAATTTCGCTCGATTTTCGGCGGGGACAAAATTTCGCATGCATACGATGCGAAACGACGGGCGAGCATGTGGCGTCACCCCGACGGGTCGCGAAATTGTCGAGCGTCCCGAGGGGAGCACCCGAATTTCGCGTGGCCCTCGCTTGCTCGTCCGGTCCGATCGCAAGGCTCACTAGGACTTCACGGGCAGCGGGGACGGGAGGGCTGCCTTCGCGCGAGGGTAACTCCCCCTCGCTCGAGTGGGTCGCCACTTCGCTGACCCCACCCGGTAACGTGGGACGCTGTTCACTTTCGGGGTGGGGTTGCGGGGCGGCGGTCGTGCGCTCGGCCCAGCCCTGGGCCAGGCTGGCGGGCCCGCACGCGTGTCTGTTGCCCGCGTCGTCAGACCCCTCTCCGACGACCCCCCTCGTCGACCCTGGCAATTTGGTTCCGTCGACCGAATTCCGCAGGGAGCTTCAGTATTTTCTGACAGTTCTGTTTAACACATCCAACACGGCGGACGCTCGCGATTAAACTATCGACATCGACGGGTCCCAATTCATCGGCCTCTGACAACGCGTCAAAATTCCCGCCACTAGCGAATTCATCTTGACTGTCCGACACAGATCCGCCACATCGACGGTTTTCATTCATCGAAGAATTCAACTCGACTTCTCGATCTGAACCGCCCGATCGACTTCTGCAGTATCAACGGCTGACATTCCAACTCTTTGAAACTCGCCTGGTCAACGCACTGAGCCTCGCGTCACCTCAGCGGTCAACGCATTCTGCACCGTCAGATCCGTTTTCAACCGAGATCTGCAGTTTTCACGCTACTGCAGGACTCGTCAACGGATAAGGGGACCTTATTTAGAAGGTGGGAGAGTGTAATGAATACACAATTCTTTACTGTAGAGGCTGCTCCTAGCGAGGACAGCCCGAGCACATCGCGTCAGGTGGCTCGGCCTACATTTCGGACCGAACCACTACCGAGTCGCCCCGCACCAATCGCGACACATCCAATCCATCCACGTCCCGAGGTCATCGCCTAGCACAGTTTCGACCCTATAAATGCGTGCTCCTTTACCATTCTTGATCATTCTGTAATTCATTCTCTTTATAGAAGTCTTCCGCGCACTCTGTCTAGTAGAACTCATAACATACGGGCTACCATAACACGCGAAACACAATCTCGACATGTATACGGTACACAGCTTTCACACTAAGAACACTATACCCGTATATGAATCAGAAAGGATCTGATTCGACAAATCGGCTAGTCAGGTATTGTGTCTACATTCTAACCTCAAACAAGATACACTACTCTGCTGTGCAAAGTAGCAGGGTTGGAATATCCCAACCCAAGCCTAAGAAACACCACATGACCCTGAACCAGCCTGTACCTGCACAGTTTCAACTCACTCACCCTACAGTTTCATCTCCCCTCCACAGTTTCATCTCAGCATGGACAGCCGCACGCGCTTAGAAGGCGACCCATCATCCCCTCCACCATCCACCTCCCTACCACCTCCCCCCTTCCTCTCCACACTCCCGCTCCCATCCCTCCCTACCCCCGCACCACCACTCCCAACCTCGCCCCCTCCCTCTTTGTTATCCGGCCCCTCTGCTTGCCTCCTGCTCCGATGCAAATGCTTTTCTGAGCTGGCTTTCTGGAGAGAGTTGGCCGGGATGATGTTCTGGGAGGGCGAGGGGGAGAGTGACGCACATCTCACCATCACAAGGTCACCGCTACCGCTCTCCTCCCCGTGTGCTTGCTCCTGCTGTGCTTGCTCCTGCTTCGGATTCTTCTCTGGCGTTTCAGTCTCCTGCTCCCCCATCTCTCGCTCCTCCCCTTTCTGCACGCCATTCTCCTCCTCCTCACCCTTCCCAACCTCCTCCTGCTTCTGCCCCTCCTCCAACCCCACTCTCGTCTCCTGCTTCTTTCCCTCCTCCTTTTCATCCATGCTCCCTCCCTCCCCACCTCCCCCACTCCCAACACCTGCCAAGGTCATCGCCAACCCCGCACCCACCCCCTGCAGATTCCTCCTCCAAGGGGAAGTTCCAGGAACCTTCTCAGCCGCCCGGCGCCGCCAGGGGGACTTGATCCCACCTCCCGTATCTGCAGGAGAGGCACCCCCCGCACCTTGGGTTCTGAAAGGCGCAGGAGAGGCACCGTGGGTTCTGAACGGGGTGGGCGACTTGGCTTGAGCACTGAAAGCCATGGGGGTTCCTGCATTAGCTCCGAAAGCAAGAGGTGATTTCGGTTTGGCACCAAAGGTGATTGTGGCGGCTGTGGCGGCTGTTGCGGCTGCAGTAGCAGGTGTGTTAACAGCTGCTGCTGCAATAGTGGGGCCTGTCGCAGCTGTAAAACCAGCCTTAGCAGGTGCATTCGCAGGTGTTTTAGCAGGTGTTTGCAACAGAAAGGTGGATCGAGCAGGGGTGAGGCTAGAGGCAGCCATAAGGCGGTCCGCGTGTTGCTGCTGCTCCAGCTGAAACAGAAGGTCTGTTTTCTCCCTGTAATAGAAAGAGATGACGGGCGAGAGAGAGGACAAGAGAGGGGGGGAGAGAGAGAGGGAGAGAGAGGAAGAGGGAGATGATTCAGCGGGGGCATGATCCAACGGCAAAAGTGGCAGCAAAAAGCTGGTCTGTATGCTGCAGCACCGGCGGATTAGCACTTGGCTCTTGTCACGTTCTTACAACTTTTGACGCACCTCAAAAGTCACGTTCTTACAAATAAGAGTCAGGGATGCAGCTCCAGCAGGGGTCACGCACCTTTCAAGAGCAAACACCCTGTCTTGTAAAGCAGGAGCTGCTGCAGAATCCTCCCTGGAAACACCAACACCACCAACACCAGCAACAGCACCAGAACTACCACCACCCGCACCAGCAGCAGCAGCGGCGGCAGCAGAGAGCCTATCCAAGGCATCATGAAGCTCCTCCTCTCTCTCACTCAGCTTCCTCCTGTACTTCACTAGTGCCTCTTCCGCCCGCCCCTTCTGCGCCCTCTCACTCTCCCACTCCATCTCAGCAACCCGCAGCTTCGCCCGCAGCCCCTTCACCTCCTCCCTCAACCGCCCCAGCTCCCCCTCTCCCCCTCCTCCACCCCCAATCTCCCCTCCACTCCCCACCCCCCCTCCTCTCCTCTCCTTCTCTCTCGCTGCCTCCACACCCTCTAGCTTCTCCCTCAGAGCTAACACCTCATCCCTCAACCGTTTCAGAGTCACCTCATTCTCATCATTCAGGCTAACAGCATCAGCCAGCAGCCTGCTATTCAGCTCCAGCTCCTCTCTCCGGGACTTGGCCTCCCGCCTAGCTGCTGCTTCAAACTCCTTCCATCGCTCCACGGCCTTTTCTAGCTGCTTTGCTCGCAGCTCCCATATACGCCCCTCCTCCGCTGTGCTCCAGGCGCCACCAGCAGCAGCGGTGGCAATGGCACTGGCAACAGCACCAGCAGCAGTTCTCGCAGCAGCAATGCCGCCAGCACTGGTGGCGCTATTGCAAGCAGCACAAAGGGAAACAGCAGCAGCAGCAGCGGAACTAGCAGGTGCAACAGCATCAGCAGCAGCAGCATCAGACGCAGCAGCAGCTTGAGCAGCAAGAGCAGTAGCAGCCTCCTCCCTCTCCTCCTCCTTCCTCTCCAAATCTCCCTTCATCTCTGAAAGCTGCCCTTCCAGATCCCTCACTCGCCTCTCAGCCTCCCCACGCTTCTGCTCCACCTCCCTCACTCGCTCCTCCTCTTCCTCGCCCCTCCTCTCCATCATCCCCTTCAACCCACACACCTCCTCCTCCAGCTCCCTCACTCGCCTCTCCGCCTCTCCCTGTCGAACCTCCACCTCCCTCACTCTCTCCCTTCCCTCCTCCACCTCCTCCTTCAGCTCCTCCTCTCTCTTTCTCCTCCCCTCCACCTCCCTTCTTCCTTCGTTCACCTCTAACAGCAATCGCTGAACAGCCTCCCTTGCCTCCCTCAACTCCCTTTCCATCTCCTGCCCCTGATCCTGTTCCTGCTTCTGATCCTGCCCCTGCTCCTCCTGCTTCTGCTGCTGCTCCTGGCCCTGCCCCTGCCTCTCCATCTCCTCTTCCTTCTCCCTCTCGCCCTCCCTTCTAGCGTCACTCTTCTCTGCACTCCCGTCACCCCCACTTGCACCTCCCAGACTCCCCACCTGCCCCTGCACCTGCCCCCTCAGCACCGCCATCTCGGCTTCCATCTGTTTGATCTGCTGAGCCCGCGCCCACCGCTTCTTGTTCGCCTCCTGCAGTGCTGCCGCCAGTCTCTCCAGGTCCCTCTCCTTCTCCTCCACTGCATGATCCACCACTGATAACCGGTCCTGTAGTTCTGCCAATTCCTTTTCCCTCTCCACCAGTTTCTGTAAGGAGGAAGGGGGGGGTGGTTGAGCATAGGGCAGCAAGAGTAAGAGAGAGCTCGCTCCAGGTCCCTCTCCTTCTCCTCCACTGCATGATCTAGCACTGACAGCTGGTCTTGTAATTCTCCAGGTGACTTCTGAGTCGACTCAAAAGTCACCTAGCTCCTTCTCCCTCTCCAAAAGTTTCTGCACGGTTGGAAGGAGTGTGGAGGGGTGGGTGAGCACAGGGCAGGAGGAGTAAGAGGCGGAAGCAGAGCGCCCTATGGGTCCCTCTCCTTCTTCTCCAAAACGTGATTCAGCACCGACAGCTGGTCCTCTCACCTGTTCGCACGCCATCCCCCCCATGCCACTCACCCTCTTCACAGTCGATAGCTCCCCTGCCAGCTGCTGCACAGCCCAGTCAGAGGCCATGTCAGCCCAGTCAGGTTCGTCTCGTGTGTGCAGGCACCTACAGGCCTTGGCACCATCTCTCATTACGATGACCACATTCTCCCCCCCCTCAGACTACTCCCCTCTTCACAGTCGACAGCTCCCCTGCCAGCTGCTGCACAGCCCAATCAGATGCTGACAGGTTCGTCTCGATCATGCCCTCACTGCCATAGCATCATCATGCATGCTCGCACCCTCCCCACTCACCCTTTTCACAGTCGACAGCTCCCCTGCCAGCTGCTGCACAGCCCAATCGGACGCCGACAGATTCGTCTCGTTCATGCTCAGCGCCTCCTCCGCCTCCCTCAGCTGCTCCTTCAACTCCTCCACCTGTTTTGTGCCGGGAAACGGAAGACCAAAATCAACATCCCTAGGGGAACCAGCTGCGGGCCTGGGTCTTCTGAAGTGCCTCAAAAAGTAGTTGTGTGTGGGGGAAAGGAGAAGCAGACTTAGCTTCGCAAGGGAAACCAACTTGGGCGCTGACTTAATGAAAGTGTGGATCATACTCGTGATACTATCACGCCATCATATACGACACTCACCAGCTCAATCATGTCGTTTGCCTCTCCTCCATTCTCCTGCCCCTGCTCTTGCACCTGTCCCTGCCCCTGCCCCTGTCCCTGCCCCTGTTCCCTCAGCGCATCAATCTCCCCTTGCAGCGAATCAATCTCTCTCTGTAGCCCATCCACCAACTCCCTAGCAGCGCTCGCCTTCTCCTCCGCCTCCTCCGCTGCCTCCCTTAGCTGCTCCCTCAGCGCATCAGTCTCTCCCTGCAACGCCTCTCTCTCTCTCTGCACAATCTCTAATTCTCTCTGTAACTCATCCACCAACTCCCTTGCGGCGCTCGCCTTCCCCTCTGCCTCCTCCACAGCCTCTCTCGCAGCACCCACCTCCTCTTCCCACCGCCTCCTTTCCTCCTCCATCCTTCCCTGCTCCTGCTCCATCTTCTCCCTCTCCTCCTCCCACTGCCTCCTCTCCTTCTCCAAACCACGCTGCTCCTCCTCCCTCTCCTTCCTCTCCTCCTCCCTTTCCTTCCGCTCCTTCTCCCGCGCCTCCCTTACCTCTTCCCCCTTCCTCCTCACCTCCTCAATCTCCACCTTCAGAGCTTCAAAACGCTCCTCCATATCCCTCTCAACCTTTCTCTTCTCATCCCGAATCCCTCCCATCGCAGCAACCACATCATCCCTTGCCCCTTCCAAGAGCCTCACCTGTACCTCCCTCTCCTCCGCCTCTTCCCTCAACCGCTCACATTCCCTCTGCACCGCCTCCCGCTCCTCCCGAATCACCCCCATAACCCTCTCAACCTCTCCCAACTCCTTCTTCCACTCCTCGGTCGCAACCACTGCTGCCTCCCTTACTTCCTGCAACTCCCTCTCCTTCTCCTCCCTCGCTTCTCTCTCTGCTGCAGCCTCTCTCACTTTCGTCGAAAGTTCCATTCTCAGTCGTCCATACTCCCCTTCTACAGTCTCCAGCCTTCGCCTCACCTCACTCTCCCCCACCACCTGCCCTCTCACTCCCTCCAACTCCTCCCGAACCTTCTCAACCTCATTCTCAAGCCTCTCCACCTCTCCCTTCAATCCTTCCACCTCCTTTTCTCTCTCCTCCTCTGCTCTCCTCTTCTCCTCTTCCATCTCACGCACTTTCACCTCCGCCTCCACTCTCCCCTTCACCTCCTCCTCAACCTTCTCCTTCATTTTCTCAATTTCCCTCTCCATCCCCTCCCGTTCCTCTCTACCTCTCTGCACCTCCTCTTCTTTCCTCCTCAGAGCCATTTCCACACACACCACTCGCTCCTTCTCCCTCTCCACCTCCCCCTCAATCCCCCTAACCTGCTCCTCCAACCCCTCAACCCGAGCTTCCATCTCCTGAGAAATCTCCTGAGAAATCCTCTGAGAAATCTCCTGCTTCTCTGTCTCTACCCGCCTCACAGCCTCCCTCTCCCTCTCCACCTCCTCCTGAAGCCCTTCAATCTGCTGTTCAAGCTCCCTCACCTTCTCCTCCCGCTCTTCCATTCCTCTCTCCTTCGCCTCTAACTCGCCCCTCACACTCTCCACTTCCCTCAGTAACCCCCCTTCCTTCTCCCTCAGCTCTTCAATCATCCCCTCGGCTTCCCTCAGTCGTCCCTCCGCCTCTTGCAGCCTCTCCCCAGCCTCCCTCTCCGCTCTTCTCGCCTCATCCCCGGCTGCCTCCCTCTCCCTTGCCCTCTCTACGTCCTGCCTCGCTATAAGCACCTCCTCTTTCACATCAAGCAGCTCCCTCTGCACCACATTCAACTCCTGCCTTACCAGCTCAGCTTCCTCCTCCGCAGTTCTCCTCCCTTCCACAGCCTCTGTCATTTGGTCCCTCAGATTTTCCAACTCCCCTTCTATCTCCCGAATCCTCTCACTTAACCCCTGCACTTCCTGCTTAAGCCCTTCCCTGGATCTTTCAATAGCATCCACTAGCGTTTCACTCTCGGAACAAGCCTCTAAAGCCTCTTCCAGACGCCTCCGCATCTCGTCCCTCTCTTCCTCTGCTATCCTCAACCGTTCCTTGACTTCCTCCACTCCCCACACTCCATTCTCCCTCTCCAACCCTTCCAACTCCTCCATTCTCCGCACAAGCTCCTCCTTCTCCCTCTCCCACGCGCGCATCCTCGTTTCAAGCTGCTCCACTGCAAGCCTACGCGCCTCTTCCGCCCCATCCGCCCTTATCTCACTCTCTCTAGCAATTTCCCTCCATCTCCCACACTCCTCCTCCACCTCCTTCAATCTCTCCCCCAGACCCATGTGTGCCTCTGCGGCGTGACTGAGCGCTTTGCTCTTCTGCTCCTGCTCCGATATACACTGCTCCGCTGCTGTCAACCGCCCCTTGAACGACTGCCGAAACACCTGAAGATCCTCCTGGCTCAACCGCCCGGTCAGGTGTTTCACCTGGAGATCATGGGTAAGAAGGAATAGCGGGAGTAAGCCAAAGCTTGCATAAACACCTGGCGGTTCTCCTGGCTCGACCCACCCCTAATTAGGTGCTTCACCTGCACAGTACAGGTGAAGCATGGAAACTGATTCAAGCCTTGTCCGTTTACCTGAGGCTCGCCGCGTCACCTACGCCGCCGTGATCCCCTCATTCATACCTCACTCTCACCCATCTCTTTCACGCCAGCCCATTCCCGCTCACCTGCTCCTTGAGCTCCTCGTTAAGAGCCTCTGCCACTTCCACCTGCTGCTTCTCCAGCAGCTGCCAGACACTCGAACCCTGCCCAACCCCACCCAGCACTCACGCCCGTTGGAACTTCCCAAAACACCTTCCAGCTCCCGCTCACCTGCTCCTTGAGTTCCTCATTAAGAGCCTCGGCCACTTCCACCTGCTGCTTCTTCTCCAGCAGCTGTCTTTCCGCCCGAGCCAGAGCCTCCCGCAGGTCCGGGCTTGCCGAGCCTGCCTCGCAGCTCTGGGCCAAGGCAGTCGCCTTGAGCCGACGCCGCAGCTTGCTATTCTCTGGAGGGAGCAGATTAAAAACAGGAGGAAAGAGAAACAGAAAAGGGGTTAAGAGCCAGTCCTAGGAGGCACTTCAAAAAGCGTTGAGAGACAGCTTGGCGCTTTCCTGATTTCGAAAGCCAAGTCAGGAAAGTAACAAACCGCATGATGTCAACTTTCGAGCATTCCCCTCGCATTACAACCCCTTCTGGACGAGTCGCACATCCAGCCTATCCACCCCGCTTGTGCTCCTGTGCAATGAAAACTGGCTTCGGATAGATTTTCCGATCAAGACGGCTCAAGGCAATACTATCTCTCACCTTCCTTCACCGAATGCAGCTTCTGGGAAACCTCCTTGCACTCCAGCCCCTTTTGGCTCAGCAGCGTCGTCAGCTCGTCCACCCGCTTCCCCTGATCCTCCAGCCTGGCACGCACAAGATACCGGAGGTGATTCAGACAGGGAATCAGATGACGCAATAACCTTCCAGCCAGACACACGCAAGAGAGGTGATTCAGACAAAGAATCAAATGACGCAGTTATTCTCCAGCCGGACACACAAAAGAGCGGGAACCAAGAGAGGAAACCAAGAGAGGCGATTGAAACAGGTGCCCGAAGGCGCCTCAAAGCGTTGCTGTGAACGCTAACAAGCCACTCACATGGCCTGCAGGCGGTTCTGGGCGTCCCTGGCAGCCTGATACTCCTCCCCCAGCCTCACCCCTCGGAGGTGACTCTGGAATGACAGAGCCAAAAGACAGAGCCACTTCAAAGGCGAAAGACAGCGCCACTCACATGGCCTGCAGCCGGTTCTGCCCGTCCATGGGCGCCTGATACTCCTCGCCCAGCCTCCAAGCCCCAACCTCTGACATGGCAGCCTTATACACTAAACGCTAACAGATCCACTAAACGCTAATAGATCCACTCACATGGCCTGCAGCCGGTTCTGGCCGTCCATGGCCGCCTGATACTCCTCGCCCAGCCTCCGCTGAATCTCCACGCTCTTCCGCTCCTCCTCCCGCACAGCCTGCACAGCCAACGCGCAATGCGCACTCAGTTGAAGGAAGAGCAACCAACGCGCGAATCCCCCTTCCTTCACTTCTCACGCGGCTTCCACTGCGCCATTTGCCGTGCGCGTCCCCCACGCCTCACCTTCTCCATGCGGTACGTTGCATCCCGCAGCTCCTGCTCCTGCACCTGCGCCTGCACCTGCCCTTCCAGCTCGCCCAATCTGCCTGCCGAGCTCTCCTCTGTGCTCCTAGGCTTCCACTGCCACCTGTTCGCGCGTCCCCCACACCTCACCTTTTCCATGCGGTAGGTTGCATCCCGCAGCTCCTGCTCCTGCGCCAGCACCTGCTCTTCCAGCCCGCCCACCCACTCGCTCAAACCTCTCATCCTCCATGCCTGCTCCTACCTGCTCCATGCCTCTGTTCCCACCTGCTCCACGCCTCACCTTTTCCATGCGGTAGGCTGCGCCCTGCAGCTCCTGCTCGGCTGCACCTGCTCCTCCAGCTAGCCCACTTTCTCCTTCAAACCACTTTATTTTCCATGCACCTGCACTTTCTCCTACCTGCCCCATCCCTCACCTTCTCCATGCGGTAGGTGGCTTCCTGCAGCTCCTGCTCCTGCGCCAGCACCTGATCTTCCAGCTCGCTCACTCTCCCTCGCAGCAACTGCGCCTCCCTTTCCGCCTTCTGCACTTTCTCCTGCAGCCGCACCCTTTCCCGCTCGATGGACGCTTTCTCCTGTCCAGGGGGAGGCGGAAAACGGAAACACATGGGCAAGGAGCAGATGCGCATATCCAAGTCCCTTCCTTTCCGACTTCTGCGTTTTCTCCTGCAGCCGCACCCTCTCTCGCTCGATGGACGCTTTCTCCTGGGTGGGCAAGGTGCGAGCAAGGAGTAAACACACGTGCTGTGAGCCACGAGCAGACGAGCACACGTAAGCCCTTTCCACTCCGCCTTCAGAACTTTCTCCTGCAGCCGCACCCGCTCTCGCTCGATGGACGCTTTCTCCTGGAGGGGCAAGGTGCTAGCAAGGAGTAACACACATGCTGTGAGAAAGGAGCAGACGATCACACGCAAGCCCCTTCCGCTCCGCCTTCTGATCTTTCTCCTGCAGTCGCACCCGTTCTCGCTCCATAGACGCTTCTCCTGTGGAGGAACAAGGCAAGAAGGAGTGCTTCGGGCAAGGAGTGGTTACGAGGTCAAAAACGCATGTGATAATTTCTGTGTAACGCGTCATTGTAAGACGTAACCGGGCAGAACATCGCTGCACCGCAACGAGCCATGGCTTACCTTGGTTCTGACGGTTGAGTCATGGTGAAGCTGCTTCACCGTGTCGGCTAGTCGCTTGAAATCCTGCAGCGAGCCGAAAGTGTCAAGGGCGAGAGACGGAGCACGAGGTGAGATGACGGAGAGTTGCCGGAAATTGAGGGAGCATGAGGAGGGATCACAATTTTGCCTACTGGCTTAAAGGGAGAAACGTATACGAGACTGGTTTGTGCATCGTAAACCGGAGGAAAGCAGGGAGCGGGATTGGGAAGCGGGTGTAACAAACCTGGAATGAAAGGGATGGGTCCGGGCCTTACCTGAGTCATGGATCGCTTATCCGACTTTTCATTCTCCAGTTCCTGCAGGGAGAAACACGCACACAAGAAAAGGCGTTAGGACTGTTTTGGCGTGTTCGCGTTGGGTCGTCCAACCAATCAGGTCCTCAGACGTAGCTCAAAATGTAATGACGGATATCTCATTATCGATTTCAAAATTCTGAACGAGCACTGAGCAGTTACAAGTTACAAGTTCTCGAGCGAATCGATTATGCGTAAAATAAACAGAAACGACGCTGTTGGAAGATGGAAGTGCCTTTTGAATCGAGTCAAAATTCACCTAGTTATACCTGGTGATAAAACCGATGGTCTTGTGAAAGCCGTGAGGCACTGAGGACGCTTTTAAGTCGACTGGATAAAATCACCTGGACAGGATTCTTCAAGAAGCGAAGGGATTTCCATGTCCGATAAAAGGGATTGATGGTCTTGCGAAGGCCCTCGCTCGCCATCCTTATCCTTAATCGTCGCGAGCAGATGCCATTATTATCGACTCAGAAACCACCTGGATTGTGTTGTACCTGGTGAAGGGAATCGATGGTCTTGTGAAGGTTCTCAATCTCGCCATCCTTCTCCTTGATCGTCGCGAGCAGATGCTTCGACTTGTGCTCTGACGAGAACCAGCCCGCTCGCTGAGCCATGGTTGCTCGCTCCAGTCAAACCGCTGATAAGTACGTGGTCGTATCGACGCTAGATGGACCAAAACTCGGCCGGCATCGCGCACCAACTCCAGAGATTTGAAATCGCCGGAATCTTACTTTCCCCACTATAATTCGCGATACTGGGAAAATAATCCAACTGCCTTGGAAAGCCTCGCGACGCAAGTTGACTTAGCATCCGACAGCCAGACTTCCGCCTAGTTCTGTAAATAAATAATTAGCGTTGAATCTCGGAGACTCCAGCTCTTGTTCCTGGAGGGTACGAGGAGGAGGAACAAGCGAGCCGCGTCGTTTTTGCACCCGGATGTAGTCGGGGCGTTGAGATATACCATGCTGAAACGGCCTAACGAGTTGCTCGGAGACTACCAGAGCTCGCCTTAGAAGAACCTGATAATCTCCGTGAAATGCCCAGTGAGTCAGCGCATCACAGTGATTACATCACCTTGGAATTTCATCTCCGAAATTCAGGCACACAAATGATGGGAGAATCGACGGTCCACATCACATCGAACATACACTTCTTTGGTCTCAGAAAGCATCGCTGGTCCCAGCAAAAACACCTCAGAGATTGCCGCTGCTTTCCGCGAAAATCATGAAACTCGGGGAGCATCAGAAAACTCAGCGATTGTCGAGTTATGGATGATTGATGCATTTGCCAGCTAGCAGCGTGTCTGCTTTTTGAGCTGTTTGATTAGATTCCTCACGGTTCTGTATGGTTCATTACAAAACCGCGTTGAAACGCAACACATCAGACAGAACCGAGAGAAGTTTATCAGGGGCTGTCCAAGCCCCAGCAGTCGGTTGGCTGCAGAGTTTGCCGCCAATTTCAAATTCCGTCCTCAAGTATCCCTAAAAGACATCTACCCACACCAGGCTCTGTTTTGAAGTTTTGCACTCTGCCCGGACCGTGCGATGGGCGCACCTCACCGTGATGCGTCAGAGAATCTGTTCGGTTCGGCATGTGGCAGGGTCAAATGTCTCCCGCGCTGGTTTGAAAACGCCTGCCGCAGCGCGCGTCAGAAAGCATCTCATGATATTCTCGATACAGAAGTGTCAAGTGCATGGAACTGGGTTGCTTCAAATGCTTTTACAGCGGAAGGGCTTCGATATACTACAATTAGTTCACATGCTAGTTCAGCATGCCATACGCTGTGTGGTTAACTGTTACGACCATGAGATTTTTTTTTTTTTTCCATCAGATTTTGCTGAAGAGAGGAGACAGCGGGAGAAGACGCACGCACCGATGCACCTGATTGTATGCCTGACGACCTATCTTATTCTTGACCACGCCTCACAACCTATGTATCTTAATATTCCTGACCACACCTGGCCCCCTCCTCCCCTTCCCTTCCAAGCAGGTTCACTCCTCTTAAGGATAATATTGGCTGCACTTGCTATCTCCTCCCCAGGAGGGCCGCCCATCAGAGTAGCGCCGCGCAGTGGAGGAGTGCCGCCCAGCAGAGGAGTGCCGCCCAGCAGAGGAGCACCAGGAAAGCCAGCAACGGGAATAGACGGGCCGAAGGCAAGGTGAGGAGGGCTGAAGGCAAGGTGAAGAGGGCTGAGAACAAGGTGAGGAGGGCTGAAGACAAGGTGCGGTGTGCTGAAGGCAGAGGCAGGGGCAGGAGCCGCAACCCCTAAAGCATGGTCAGATACCTGATACCGCACCGCCTGATACCGCACCGCCTGATACCGCACCGTCTGATACAGCACCAGTACCACCCGAATCGCTTGGAACCTGACTGGATCAAATAGCAGCAGCAGGTGATATCTCACCCGCCCCACGCACAGCTTACAACCCCATCCCTTATTTTTTCCGATCCAACAATTTCCGATCATACATAGCCGTGATATTCCTTTCCTCATCTTCCTTCTTGCCCCCCTGCTCCCCTCCCTTCGCCTTCCCGACCCCTCGCCCTCCTTCAATAGCAGCATCAGGTGACCTCTCACCCGCCCCACGCACAGCTTGCAACCCCATCCCTTCTTTCTTTCGATCCAATGACTTCCGGTCATTATAAGCCGTGATATTCGTTTCCTCATAGTCCTTCTTGCCCTCCTGCTCCCTTCCCTTCGCCTTCCCGCCCCCTCGCCCTCCTTCAATAGCAGCATCAGGTGACCTCTCACCCGCCCCACGCACAGCTTGTAACCCCATCCCTTCTTTCTTTCGATCCAATGATTTCTGATCATACATAGCCGTGATATTCCTTTCATCATCTTCCTTCTCGCCCCCCTGCTCCCCTCCCTTCGCCTTCCCACCCTCTCGCCCTCCTTTTCCCCTCCCTAAGATAAAATTGAAAAGACCATGCGGTCCCGATTTCTTTGACTTGGCTTGCGCCGAAGCATTGCTACTGGAAGCACTGGCAGATGCAGCAGCACCAGCAGCAGTAGTAGCACCAGAAGCAGCAGCACTAGCAGCAGCAGCAGCAGCAGCAGCAGCAGCAGCAGCCGCATCAGAACCAGCACGAGAAGGAGCACAAGCATCATCACCAGCAGCAGCAGTCCCAGCAGCACCAGCACCAGCACCAGCACCAGCACCAGCACGAGCAGCCGCAGCACCACCACCACCAGCACGGGCAAGAATACTAACAGCAGCTAGATCTTCCGTAAGAGATGCCTCTTCATCCTCCCCCTTCCCACCTCCTGGAGCAGCAGCAGCAGCAGCGGAAGCTAGACCAGGAGCAGCTAGATCTGCTGTGAGAGAGTCAAGTGGCTCCTCCTCCTCCGTCCAACCTCCTGCTCTGATGCCAGCTACTCCAGCTGCTGCTGCTCCCGGTGAGTCACTTTCACTTTCACCTGATTCAAAATACCCGGAACCACCAACACCTGAATATCTACCTGAATATGCACCTGAATTTGTACCTGAACATGGAAATTCTTCTTCTCCCACTGCTGCTTCCATGCCTCCTGGACCTGCCTCTGGGGTTGCTGCCACATGGTACCCCAAACCAGACCCCACCGCTGCATCAGGTGCATCTTCAGGTGCATTCTCAGGTGCCTCGAAATACACAAAAGCTGGTGCTGCCAGTGCTTCTGGTGCTGGTGGTGCTGCTGGTGCTGGTGATCCCAGATGCCCCATCTCCTCCTCTCCCTCTCCTTCACTCAACGTAGGAATCATTCTGAGCACATGGGCTCTCCACTTCTCCAACGGTGGTATCTCGTATTCTTCCTCCTCTCCAGGGGAAGCAGGTTGACGGGCAGGGAAAGCAGGTTGGCGGCAAGGGGAAGCAGGTTGACGGGCAGGGGAGTCAGGTAGACGGGCAGGAGAAGCAGGTGGGCGGGCAGGGGAAGCAGGTGGACGGGCAGGGGAAGCAGACTGATAGGAAGGGGAAGCAGGTAGATGGAGAGGGGAAGCAGGCAGACGGGCAGGGGAAACAGGTGGACGGGCAGGGGAAGAATGTTGACGTGCAGGGGAAGCAGATTGATGGGCACGAGAAGCGGACAGATGGGTAGGGGAAGCAGGTGGATGGCCAGGGGAAGAAGGTAGATGGAGAGAGGAAGGAGGTCGACGGGTACGCGAAGCAGGTTGTCGGGCAAGGGAAGCAGGTTGTCGGGCAGGGGAAACAGGTTGATGGACAGGGGAATCAGGTTGATGGGCAGGGGAAGAAGGTTGACGGGCAGGGGAAACAGGTTGATGTACAGGGGAAACAGGTTGCCGGGCAGGGGAAACAGGTTGATGGACAGGGGAATCAGGTTGATGGGCAGGGCAAGAAGGTTGACGGGCAGGGGAAGCAGGCTGATGGGCAGGGGAAGCAGGTTGATGGGCAGGGGAAGCAGGTTGATGGGCAGGGGAAGCAGGTTGATGGGCAGGGGAAGCAGGTTGATGGGCAGGGGAAGCAGGTAAAGGAGCAGCGGCAACAAAAGGGGCAGCAGGAGCAGCGGCAACAAAAGGGGCAGCAGTAGCAGCGGCAACAAAAGGGGCAGCAGTAGCAGCGGCAACAAAAGCAGCAGGAGCCAACGCTGCTGTAAAAGCAGCATTTGTTGCTGCTAATTCTGCTGCTACTGGTGCATCAGAAATGGCAGCAAAAGCGGCACCAGGGGTAGCAGGAGCAGCGGCCACTGGTGTAAGGGCAATAGGGAGGGCATTTTGGCTACCCCGAACGAGATGTAAGCGCTTCAGCTGTTCCACCAGTTGTATCTGTTCCAGCAGTTGCAGCTGCAGCTCCTGCAGCTCCTGCATAGTTGGCATCCCTCCTGCTGCTGCCACTGGTTCTAACAGTGGTGCTGCTGGCGCTGCCGGTGTAGCTGCCACTGCTGCTGGCATTGCTGCTGGCACCGCTGCTGCCATTGGTGCTACAGCCCCGCTATCATCATCGTCCGTGGTGCTCGTGCTGCTGCTGAAGGTGGGTGCTAGAGCCCCGCCAAAGCTCCCTCCCGCCCGCATTTCTTGCCTGATTTCACCATCCATTGATTGTGGCTGCTGCTGATGCGCCAGCTGTTGCTGCTGATTGCTGCTGCTGCCACTGAATGTGGGTGCTAGAGCCCCCCCAAACCTCCCTCCCATACCCATTTCTCGCCCAATTCGACCGAGCATTGGTTGCGGCTGCTGATGATTGTGCTGGTGCTGCTGACGCGCCAGCTGCTGCTGTTGCTGCTGATTGCTGTTGCTGCAACTAAAGGTAACCAATTGTTGCGGATGCTGCTGGTGTTGCTGCTGATAAGCCAGTTGTTGCGGCTGTTGCTGCTGATAAGGCAGTTGTTGCAGTTGTTGCTGCTGATAAGACAGTTGTTGCTGTTGCTGTTGATAAGGCAGTTGTTGCGGCTGTTGCTGCTGATAAGGCAGTTGTTGTGGCTGTTGCTGCTGATACGTCAGTTGTTGCGGCTGCTGCTGCTGATCATCCAGTTGCTGCTGATAAGACAGCTGCTGCGGCTGCTGCTGCTGATAATCCAGTTGTTGGGGCTGTTGCTGTTGATAAGGCAGTTGTTGCAGCTGTTGCTGCTGATAAGACAGTTGCTGCGGCTGTTGCTGCTGATAAGACAGTTGCTGCGGCTGTTGCTGCTGGTAAACAAGTTGTTGTGGCTGTTGCTGCTGATAAACCAGCTGATGCTGTTGCTCCTGGTAAGCCAGCTGCTGCTGTTGCCGTTGTTGATATTGTTGCTCTTGCTGAAGCCTTTCATTCAAACCCACAATCGACTCCCCTGGCTTTCGCCATGCTACCCCATACGACTGCAGGCCCGCCCCTGACGACTGCTGGCTGAGTCCTGACGGCTGCTGGCTGATTCCTGACGGCTGCTGGTTGATTCCTGATGGCTGCCCGCCAATAATGAACACCTGTTGGTTTGACCCTGACAACAGCACGCTATCACCTGACGACTGCCGGCTAATTACTGATGGCTGCGGGCTGATTCGGGACGGCCTCTGGTCAATTCCGTACACCTGCCGGTTCGACCCTGACGACAGCACGCTATCACCTGATGACTGCCGGCTGATCCCTGACGGCTGCGGTCGCACACCGTACTGCTGAGCCCTCTCACCGTACTGCAGAGGGCTCTCATCGTACTGCAGAGGCCTCTCACCATATTGCTGGGGCCTCTCACCATACTGCGGAGGGCTCTCACCGTACTGCAGAGGGCTCTCACCGTACTGCATCCCCTGCGCATACTGTACCCGTCCCCTTCCCGAGTCACCTCCAGACGATTGATGGCTAGCCCCTGACCCTTGACGTCCCAGACTGGACTCAGGCGTTAAGGGAGTCCCGTGGCGTGCAGCTCGCTCGTCGGCCTTCCTTGTAAATACTTTAGTGTATACGCCGCCGACCTCATCCCCGTTATGAGCAGCCCCGTTTGGCGCGCCTGCGCTGCTATTTCCAGGAGCTGGAGCGGGAATGGCGGAGGGTTTGGTTTGCCAATCGCCGAAGGAGGGGAGGGCCACGCTAGCGGCGGAAGCCTGAGAGCAGCGGAGGGGGAAGGCGGAAAGGGGGAGCGGAAGGGGAAAGTGGGGAGGAAAGTTGGAAGAGACGGGAGGCAGAAAAGGGGAGGGGAAGGAGGGGTGGGGGAAGGAGAAGGAATCAGGGTGGAGGGACAATGACAATACCGAGAGATTGAAAGAAAGATGGATTTGTGGAAAGGAGACACCAAGTCAATAAATCAAGCAACTAGAAAAAAGAGAGAAAAAAAAGGGTCGGAAGCCAAGAAAATAAGAGCGCTACGTGATACTTACAACAACGGCAAAAACGGAACAGGGAGGTCATGAAATGAAGCAGTTACGAAAGACGAGATAAAATTTGAACCAGGATGATAAATAAGGCAAAAATGTAGTATTCTTTGTTGGTCGACCACCTCAGTGTTTTCGCTCTTCAGTCCCATAGTTGTCGCTCATCCAATCTCATTATCGTCGCTCTTCAGTCTCATTATTGTCGCTCTATCTCATACTCTCGCTCTTGTATCTCATTATCGTCGCTCTTCCATCTCTCATTGTTGTCGCTCTACTAACTCACCATTTTCGATCATCTATCTCGCATTTGTCGCTCTTCTATTGCGTTATTGTCGCTCTTTCTATCTCATTATCGTCGCTCTTTCTATCTCGTTATTGGCGCTCTTCTATCCCATCGTCGCTCTTTCGTCTCGTTATTCTCGCTCTTATTACTCACAGCTGTCGCTGTTGCTATGATTTCTTTTGACAAAAAAACTTACCTTTCCTTTGAGAAGATTCTTTATAACAATGCCTCCCTTTTTACTGCTGGCGTGGTTGAATGACTCGGAGCTTTCACTGGAACCGATCCTTCTAGCATCATCGTCCATGGCTTTGTCAGGGAATCACACGCGGCTGTAGACGTAAAGGAAAAAGCTCTTCAAAGAACGTGTTTTGTCGAAGGTTGGAACAAATGAGAACGAGATTGTGGCCACGTTGCTGTAAGCAAGCAGCTCACGCGTGGAGATCAGTGGACGAAAGGGATAAAGTTATCGGCGAGACTGCTCGTGGAATCAAGCAGCGCATCCTCGAATGGGGGAAGAGAGAAAAATGAGCTACTAAACGGAAGGATGTAACCACTGCATTGTTCCAAAAGGGAGAGGACAGACGGAACTAGCAGAAGCGCTGGATAATGCGGATTGGGAGAAGCAGAGAGGGCAGAAGCAGAGTGATAGCGGATCAGGCGGGTCATTTTCGTTGGTTTACAGCTGACTTTCTAAGGTCCAGTTGGATGCGCAATGGTCTGAAGCGGTGAATACCACTCACTCATACCACTGTTGGATATTTGGGCCGGATGACTGAAACGAAAGCTGGAAACCAACGGAAGCGAAGCCGTGAGAAGCACGCGTTCCTTGTTCGGGTGCTTCAACCTCTTTTGCAGTCTATAGTCGGTGGAGTTCGGTTCAAAACTGCAAAGAGTGCAAATTGCTTTGGCGGTAGGGCTGGCGAAAGGAGATCAAGCTACACATTGGTAGTTGGCGATTGGCTAGCAGGCAAATGTAGGGAAAGCTGACGGTTGGTCGCAAGGTGCTGTACGGGAATCTCAATTTGTTCCATAACAGCCTTGGGGAACACGTCATTCCATTGACAGGTAGACTCGGGACCAACATCGAGAAAGCAAATTTGATTGGTCACGAAAGTTCTCAGTTGTAGCATGATACATGACCGTATTGCTAGAAAGGCATAGTGCCGGCGTTGCGGAAGCTTGATTGTAGAATAAGTAGCAAGAGGAACTTGCAACTGAAATGATTCAGAACAATAGGATGATTATGAAATGACAGAGCAGGGTATTTATCTTGACCAGCTAACCCCTTCAGGATGGTTCTATCCACACCAACAACGCCACACCAATAATTCTACCCGCCAATAATTCTTACCCTCCAATAATTCTAGACTCCAGTAATTCTGACCCTCCAATAATTGTACAATTATTGGAGGGCTGAGAGTCTTATAAAGGAACACTACAGTAAAACCTAACAGCATTAGTATCATCTTATGTTTGTATATTTAACACTCCCCCTTGCTGTAGGTTTTACTGAGGCGTGACTGAATGGAGGATACGTTGGAATTGACGATTGAATTTGTGGTAACGGCGTTGATTGCGGCGGTGATTTCGGTGGTGGCGGTGATCACGGCAGTGACTGTTGATTGATCCACCCTGCTAGGGTTTCGAACGTTCCGTCGAGAAAGTGTCGGCGGGAACCATACTTGCGACGGCTGCACGATCCAGGCTGAGTAGGCGCACGTCTCGCTTCTCAGGTGATTCCAGCAGTGCTACGCCCTGGGTCGCAATTCTCCCCGCAATCTCTCGGTTCTCGCTCAGCAGGGGTCTTCCAGACTCGTCATTCAGGCTCATTCTCGACAGATTGTCTCAGGGTTTCTCAGCACCTCCTCCCATTCAGTTTCTTGTTCATCGTTTCCTGCTGCTGCTGCTGATGAGACTATGCCCGATTTCATTTGCTATCGCGCAACTGCTGCTTAGTCGCCACGGATTTGCTGCGCCATGGCGCGATGTCCTTCAGTTGCGCGTCTCACTAGCGCTCGCCATGTCATGGCTGGTGCTTGGTGACAGCAGCGCACGTGACGACCTGCAGCGCCGGATGCGCGTTTTTCTGAGGCTGCGGCCAGATCCGCGACTGCTGCTTCGGTCGCGCGGCTGCCGTGACCTCCTCGCTTGACAATCTGCGCGCTGCAGCTCCTTGCGCGCGACTGCTGTTCATGGCGCCCGTGGCGATCGGCAGCAGCGACTGACTGCAGCAGCATGCGCGCCGCTGCATTACCTCACATGTGGCGGCTTCTGCTGGTGCGCGCCCTCCCCTTGCCATTTCGGGCGACCTTGTGCTCGTGTGGCAGCATCTGCACTGCGACACTTGGCTCTTGGCAGGTGCGGGGCCTTCTCACACCAGCAGCTTCCGACGCCGCACCGCTGCAGCTGCGCGACTACTCTGTCGTGACGAGGTGAGTTGCTCTTCTCCGTGTAACTACCACTGCTTGCACCTTGACCTCACTCATGTGTGTTTCTTGCTATTGATGTACTGCAGCACTGGCCGTGCTAAGTCGCTTGTTACTGCTCCCACGTTCTCTTGTGATTTTCCTTGCCCCCGCCCATACCAGCTAGCGAGCGTGAGCGGCTGCAGCCGGCATCGGCACCTGGCACTCTGGCCCACACGTCTGCAGCTCCTGGTAGCGCATGGCTGCTGCTCCTGGCGGCTGCACGGCTGCTACTTCTGGCGGCCCACTACTGCTACTCCTGGCTGCGCACGACTTTCTCCTTCCGACCGAGGTGAGAATGCTTAGTTGACTTTTGTCAGTTTCACCCATGTTACTCTGTTACTCTGTGCTACTTCCCATGACCCCGTGCTGCTCCCCCTATACTAGGTGAACCCCGGAGGCAGCTGAACTGGTACGCAAGCACCTGGCGGCTGCATCTGCTCCTGGCGGCTGCTTCTGCTCCTGGCGGCTGCATCTGCTCCTGGCAGCTGCTTCTGCTCCTGGCAGCTGCTTCTGCTCCTGGCGGCTGCTTCTGCACATGTCTGCCAGCGGCACCCCGTGACTGGTGGCAGCAGCATCACCTGGTCGCTTGCAGCAGCCCCCCCTGACGCCCTGCAGCACCTGGAGCCCTGCAGCACCGGGCTGCAGCAGCTTTCCCTGATGCGCTGGCCGCTTGCACTGGTGCAGCTCCAGCACTGGGTGGCAGCAGTATCAGCAGCACCTGCGTCACTTTGGTGAGCAGCACCAGCAGTGCCTGTCTCCAGTTGTCTCCCCCTTCTTCTCCTCTCATTGGAGTCATACTTTTGTATTTAGTAGACGTCAGCTACCTCTTGTGATTCCCTCTGTCTACTTGCCTCATGTTGACTCATGCTGATGTTTCGTCTCCCCCTGAAACCTGCAGGCATATAAAGTCTTCAGGAACGGCCGCTGTAGATGGCGAGTGGTTGTGACCAACCAGCAGCAGCGACTGTCCAGCAGAATATCTGATGGCTGCTGTTGTTACTGATTGCAGTAGGTCTTCTCATGATGATATGCTGACTCTTGTGATGACGAAAATGAAAAGATGGTTGTGAGATGAAATCCTGATTTGTTGCACCCCAAGATACTCCACACCCCACTCCCCCTCTCACTCGTGTGTTTGGAGGCACGCACATGCGTGAGCACGCACATATCACCAAACACATGAGTGAGATGTGTGGAGTTACGTGATGCCGTGTTGTTCAGCTCCCCTTGAGAAGCCCGGACTTGAGAGTGCAGCTCCAGCAGCTTCAATGTGAGTACTGGGTGCAGATGGTGCTACATGTGAAATAGGTTGGAGACCGCACAAGTGGCTGCAGGTGAGATGTTGTTTCGCTGTGAGGGGCTTGGTAAGATAATCCGCAGCTTGCTGAGTTGTTGGGCAGTACTCCGGCCGCACAACGCCATCACGAACGGCCTTCCTCGTCCAATGGTAACGTACGTCCATGTGCTTGATACGTTGACTCATCTGCTCCCCGGTTGCAAGCGCAATGGCGCTTTGGTTATCCACAAAGATGACGGTAGGTTCTTGCTGTTGAAAACCGAGGTCTTCACACAAGCGGCGAAGGTATGTGGCTTCCCTTGCTCCTTCAAACAGTGCAATGTATTCTGCTTCAGCTGTTGATGTCGCAATGACCGTTTGTCGTTTGGTCCTCCAACTGACAGCAGCTCCTCCCAAGGTAAACACGTAGCCTCCAACTGAGTGACGCCCCTCTTCGTTCGCATAATCCGAGTCCGTATATCCACGGAGCACCAAGTCTCCTCCTCCATACACCAGCCCCATGTTTGCAGTGTTCTGTAAGTAGTTGAACACCCGGTGGATTCCAAGCACTGTCGCTGCTGTTGGTTTGCTTGCTTGCCTGGCCAGCACATGCGCCGCATATGTTATGTCCGGCCGCCCTGCTGTTGAGATGTACAGCAATGTCCCAACTTGTTTCAGCACCAATTGACCATCAATCTCGTCCGGTGGTTCTCCTTGTGGTCCAGGTTCCTTGGCGATCGGTGTCCGAACTCCGGAACGGCTGCCCTCCATCCCGAATGTCGCCAAAGCCTGTGAGATGTACTTTGTGAGTCCGAGTGCGATCGAGTCATTGTCCGCGGCGACGTTGAGCCCCAAAAACTGTGTCATGGTCTTGCTGACCGTTAAGGTAAAGTGCTGCTTCAAGTGTTGAATCACAGCGTCAATGCCTTCTGCGTCATGAGACTGGATGAGGATGTCGTCAACGTAAGTGAGTAGCCACACTGGGTCCTGTCCGTCTCTTTTCCAGATAAACAGAGAGGGGTCTGATTCGGATTGCACCATGTCCAGCGCCAACAAGACACCCCGTAAGTGCTGATGCCACAAGCGTGGTGCTTGTTTCAGCCCATATACACTTCTTTTGAGTTTCCAGACTTTGTCTCCGTCCCGCCTTGGTTCTGGTGGTCTCACGTATATGTCCCGGTCAATCGGAGCGTATAGGAATGCATTGGAGATGTCCAATTGCACCACTTTCCGCTTTGTAGCAGATGCACCAGCAACGAACACGTGAGAGGTAGGTCCTTGGCTGACCGGTGCATACGTCCCATCATATGTCCCCCAAGTTTGGCCGCATCCCTTGACCACCCAGCGCGCTTTGAACCGGTTTGGCTGCCCGTGCTCATCTCGTTTCACCCGTAGAACGACTCCTTCCGACAGCACTGGTGTTCCTTTTGGTACGTCCGCTCTGTCCACCACTTCGTATGCATCCAGGTCATCGAACTTGGCCAATTCTGCATCCACAGCGGCTTGCCAAAGAGGTGCGTACGGGTCCTTGGTCATTTCGTGAAGTGTTTTTGGTTCTTTGTATGTCAGCTCCACCATGGGGACGTCGGTTGCTGCACATCCCAGTACGTTCTGCTGCTGCACGTTGGGAAATCGTGTGAATGTTTGTCCTGCCTGCCGCCTCCCAAACAGTACGTCCAGTCCTGTCATTTTGTCCATCCCTTGTCCTTCTCCTCCAAGTACTGTCACTGTTGGGTTGAAGTGAACCCGCCTTGGTGGCACGTCAGGAGCAGCCAGCGGGATCCCATCGGGTGGGTAGGCATAGTTGTATAGATGACCTGCGTCATTTTCTGGTTCGTTGTTGTCTGCACCTTCACAAACAGAGATGCCTGCCGCTGGTAAGTCACTTTCCCCTGTCTCTTCTCCTATATCAGCTTCAGTAGCTGCTGGTGGGTCTTCTTGAGCTGCGTCATTGGTCGTAGGTCCATGTTGTTCTGCTGTAGAGACGTCAGAAGATGACGTGGAGGAAGTGAGAGATGCGGGAAAAGAGTCGAATGCTGACCCAACGTCCTCTCCCCCTGAGGTCCATTCCGAGATATGAGGTGAGACTTCATCGATGTACCGTTGGCGTTCGAGCAGAGACTCGGCGTCCGGGAGCATGAGGTCGTCAAAGAAGCGAGCTGAGCGTGTGTCCGTGTCAACGTCGCTTGCCAAGTCCCGAACGATCCATGCTTTTCGTGAGTTAGAGAGGCCGAGAAACATGCCTGCCCGTCCTCGTTGTTCAAATTTCCCAAAGCTGCCTTGGGGAGGGAGATAGTAGCAGAGGCATCCGAAGGTTCTGGCCATGGAGACATCTGCTGCCTTTCCCATCATCATGAAGTATGGTGAGTGTGCGGATGGGTTGCTGCTGCAGCTGATGCGGTTGTGTAACCATGCCGCATATTCCAGTGCATAAGGCCAGAACTTGGAGGAAAGGCTGGCCCCGGTAGTCATTGCTCGCACTTGGTCCATGAGTGTGCGGTTAACCCGTTCGGCGACTCCATTCTGCTGTGGCGTATGTGGTAAAGACGTTTGGTGATTGATACCGTGAGAACTCAGGTAATCCGTGAATGCGTTTGATGTATACTCCCCCCCGTTGTCCGTGCGCAAGGCAGCCAGCGGCATCTTGGGCAGCTTGGTCTTCATCTCACGGTGCCAAGCCGAGAAAACTGCAGCCATGTCGGACCGGCGAGCCAACGGCGCCACCCACAGGTAGTTGGTGTAGTCGTCCTTGAGCGTCAGCACATAGCGAAGGGAAGGGTGAGCATCACCCAGGTCCATGATGTCGCTGTGCACGAGCTCCAAAGGTCGAGTTGTGGCATTGGTGCTTCCTGTGGGAAAGGGGTTCTTGCTCATCTTCCCTCGAAGACATGAATCACATGGGGGTTTGAGAGGGTTAGTCTTGTCGGATATGGTGAGTCCTTCAACATCACCATTTCGAAATGTTGCATCCATGGATGTGTATGATGGGTGACCCAAGCGCTTGTGGGCCATGCGATATGTGATGGATGCATGAGCAGATTGCACATTCGGCCCTCCAAGGTCAGTCTCATTCAATGCTTCATTCGGATGATCATGACCAGATGCATGGGCGGATGCAAGTGCAGGCTCATATTGCACCATTAGCACCCCATGCATGACCATTCCAACTCCAATGAGTACATGCTCATCCCCATCCGCCATTGTGATATCCGTGCGCCCATCCTCACGTGTGTGAATGCGAGCTCCCTTCTTGTACAGCTGGCAATAGGAGAGCAGGTTGGACTTCAAGCCGGGTACGTAGAGTACGTCCGTGTAGCGCACCGTTGTTCCATTGGGTGCCGTTGCTCGGATTGTTCCCGCCATCGAGCTCAACAGGTGGCTTCCGTCAGCAAGCTCCACATAAACGGGTTCGTTCAGCTCCTCTAGACCCTCAAACCACTCCTTTTCCGAAGTCATGTGTTGGCTGCATCCGCTGTCCAGCAGCCACATCGACCCTCCGGTTGACGGTGATGTTGCTTGCGACGATCGAACCGTTGCAATGCATGTCATGGTTCGTTTGTTGTCTCCCCCGCCTGCCCCTTGCTGTTTTGTCGCTTGGTTGTCACGTTTCGGACTTTCACTCCTTCGCGGCGAGGACGAGCGGCTACTCCAGGTGCGCTGGTTGGTTCTCCCTCTGTTTTGTGGTTCCCAACCTGGTGGTGACCAACCCGGAGGCGCCTTCGGAAACTTGTAGAACGGGTGGCCAGATTCCTTGCAGTACCAACACACAAGGTTAGACCGTCCTCCCGCTGACCTTGCCGCATTCCGGTTGTCCTTTGTCTCGGTTCTCTCTTTCGCTGGTGAATTATCTCCACGTGCTTGGCCAGCCATGCGGGGAGGACGCTTGCCACGGTTGGTCTTGCTAATGAGGTCTTGGTAGCGTTGTTCCTGAATCATCATTCGTTGCAGTGCGTAGCTGTCCGAGATGTCGTGTAGCATTGCCGAATGCCTCAACTCCTCCCAATGCGGTGGCAGCCCGGTGATCAAATTTAAGGTGAATGAATCTTCATCCACCATTTTTCCCGCCATTGCCAGCTTATCCCGAATTGCAGTTGCTCGGTTGATGTAGTCCTCCACTCTTTCTTGGCTCCCCATCTTCAGGTTGTCCAATTGCCTCTGGAGAGACGCCTTTGCCACCGAATCCTTCGCCTGGTAAGTCTCCATCAGGTACTCCCATGCTTCGAATGCCGGACTGTATGACTCTTGGAACACGTCAAGTTGCAGCTGAATCGTTGCGCTTACGCTATGCAGAAGCACCCAAAAAGCCAGCGTAGCACGTTGTGAGTAATCTGCTTGTAGAACTTCCAGCCGTTCCATTGCATCTCGCATTTCTCCTTGCACCATTGTAACCGGGTATTGTAGCGTCACGAAGAACTCCCACAGGTTTGTCACGCGCGCGTTCATGCGAAACCGAAGAGCCCACTCTCGAAAGTTAGTGCCGTCGAATGGAGTTGTTGTGAACGCTTTGTCCACTGCTGCTCCCACCATTTTGCGTGACAACCTGTCCTTGTCTTCTTCCGTGTACTCGCGTGGAGACGGGTCGAAGAGCGTAGGCACGTTAGATGGTCGAGGTAGTTGTACCGTGCGTTGTGTGCCTTCACGTTCCACCACTTCCACTTGATCACGTCGCATAACACCACTTGACTGCATCCCGTGCCCCATGCGCCCCATGCTTCCTGCAGGTGCAGCTTCCATTTGAAACTGTGGCGCACGAGGAGGTACGACGTTGTTGCCTAAGAGGTGAGATCTGCCCATCACGGGAACTCCAATGGGATGGGAGTTAGTAGCGAGACGTCGCAGTGGGGGAGCACCAATAGTGTAGGATTCGAATCCCACACCTTCCATGCCCACATGACTGCTTCGACCACTCCCTTCCCCAATCTGCCCTCTCATGTTTCTTCCCACGCCGATCCCATCACCATGCTCCATCACATTTGTTCCACTTCCGTACGCATCGTCCCTCCCCGTTGCTGCCCTTTGCATGGTTGATTGAGGTTCGGGGTGGGAGCTCCCCTCTCCTTGGAAGGATGCATCCCTCCCTTGGGATGACTCTCCTCCTTGGGGTAAGCTTCCCTCTCCTTCACCTTCAATCCCTGCATCCATATTTGAAGTACGGGTTTGGTTAGTACGCGGAGTGCTTGCATGTGACTGTTCACGGATGGATGGGTTGCTGAAATCTCGAACTTGGGCTGGCATGTTGAACTTTGCTCTTAATGACGCTTGGAGTGTTGGTGGTGCCCTTGCAATCATGTTCTCCAGGTGCTCATGTTGAGCCATGATGGCTTCTTCAAACGCCTCGTATCCAGCATCGACTTCATCGTCGAATCGCGCCATGCCTCCAATCCAAATGTTGTCACTTGCTGTGCGAGTTTGCTAATGTCCCAGTCCAATGTGAATGCTGACAAGGTTCTAACCAAATTTCGGCAGCATGCCCCCTAGAGTAGCTCTGATACCATGCTAGAAAGGCATAGTGCCGGCGTTGCGGAAGCTTGATTGTAGAATAAGTAGCAAGAGGAACTTGCAACTGAAATGATTCAGAACAATAGGATGATTATGAAATGACAGAGCAGGGTATTTATCTTGACCAGCTAACCCCTTCAGGATGGTTCTATCCACACCAACAACGCCACACCAATAATTCTACCCGCCAATAATTCTTACCCTCCAATAATTCTAGACTCCAGTAATTCTGACCCTCAAATAATTGTACAATTATTGGAGGGCTGAGAGTCTTATAAAGGAACACTACAGTAAAACCTAACAGCATTAGTATCATCTTATGTTTGTATATTTAACACGTATGTCACTTTAGCGAATTATATGTAAAGGGAAAAGCCAAGCGGGGACAATACAACGTAAACTACACTCAAACCAACCCAGTAAAATGTGTTCAGCTGAACGAGGCTATTCTCTAATAACGTCTAGAAAACCTTAAGACAGGGAATTGAAGTACCCTATAACTAAAAGTGCAGACACTGATGCAAATGTACGTGACAATTGTGGTGGGTTTTACCTTTTCCAAAGCTTGTTGATAAAACCCGAAACATTCTGAAAAGGAAAAAGGGTAAAAAAATGAGAAAGGGTCGAATGCAGTGGGCACACAATGGGTTGAGAGCAGAGCACACAAAAGGACGCCGAAATAAACTGGGAAGGCACGCACAAGCGCATCACTCAAATAAGATAAGAACAAGTGCAGGAGAACAGATACGGCGAAAATGCATATGACGGGAAAAAGCAGCTTCAAATGCAGATGGACCAGTCGTTTCCTCCTACCAAAGCTACCTGCTCCATCTGCCGCATACAATTTTTGAGGCGCCTAAAAAAACGTCTCAATCTTTTACACGCCTCAAAAATTGCCTTCCTACCAGAGCTACCTGAGCCAAGGATAGGGTATGAGAGGAAGGGCATGATACCAACATATACACAGACGCGGGCAGGCAGGAAGAGCCAGAGAAACCAATTCAACACCCCTAATGGTGCCAGAAGGAGCATGCATAGTCCTAGTTAATTGAAAACACCCTACTGGCGCTGTCAGCCTGCTGACCTACCTCGTTGTTGCAAGTGGATTTTGAGAATTCTCAAAAACCATTGGGAGCAGGCAGAGCAGCAAGTTAGAAATACACCCGACTGGTGCCATATAGGTATTTATCTAGCATCATACCTTACCTTTTTTTCTTGACCATGCCCTGCTGCAGGCACTGCTGCCCCGCCTGCTGGTCCTCCTGCTCCTGCCCCTCCTGCTCTTGCTGCTGGCACACCCCCGTGCACCCAACCATTTCCACCGTACCCACCACCATTTGCACCGTACCCACCACCATTTCCACCGTATGCACCACCATTTGCCACACCATCCCTCCGACCAGGTTTCGAACCAGCAAAAGCAGCGGCAGCAGCCGCGGCCGCGGAAGCATCGGCAGCAGCATCGGCAGCAGAGGCAGGCGGGAGGGTGGCAAGGTGAGGAGTGTGTTTGGGGGGGGGTCGGCCTGCTGCTGCAGCAGCGATGTTAAGAGCTGCAGAGGCGAAAGCATTGGATCGGGGTGTGTGTGAGGCAATACCCCTGGCTAAACCACTGCCTGCACCGAAACCAGCACCAGCACCAAAACCAGCACCAGCACCAAAACCATTCCCCCCACCGAAACCATTCCCAGGACCGAATGCTGGAAAGGAAGGAGCTCCCCCTAAAAGAGGGGCTCCCCCCAACAGAGAAGCGCCTCCCAACCCAGGCGCTCCCCCCAACCCAGGCGCTCCCCCCAACCCAGGAGCACCGGGAAAGCCGGCAACAGGAATTGAAGGGTCGAAGGCAAGTTGAGGAGGGCCGAAGGCAGAAGCAGGGGGAGGAGCAGCACCCCCCAAAGCACGACCGGAATCCTCTGCACCACTTGATATCGCACCAGAACCGCCCAAACCGCTTGAAACCTCACAGAACCGATTATCAGCAAAAGGCAATCCGTTACGAGCCCCAGACCCTGACGGTAAGCCCATCCCTCGTTCCTCCAGCTCACTACCAGCGACGTTATAAGCGCCCTCATTATAAGCACTCCCATTATAAGCACTCCCATTATAAGCACTCTCCTGGTCAGCATCCCCGTCACTCATGTTGTGATAACTCTCGTTATAAGCACTCTCATCACACGCACTGTTTCTCTCAAAAATCCCTTGCTGCCTCCCAGCCCCAAAGGAGGGTTTCACCTTACGAGCCAACATTCTCTGCTGAAACACTTCTGTGAACCCCCCTCCTCCTCCTCCCTCCTCACCTTCCTCCTCCTCCTCCTCCTCCTCTCTGCCCACACCCCTGAAACCACCCCTCTCCACCTCCCCATCTCCCTGCCCTACGCCTCTTCCTCCTCCACGCCACTCCCCTTCACTAGACTCGAAGCTCTGTCGACCACCAAAGCCGCTCTCCATATAAGCATCCTCGTTACAAGAACTGTTCTGCTCATCAATCCGTCCCGGCCTCCCACCTTTAAACGAGGGCTTGGCCATTCGAGCCAGCCCCATCCTTTGAAACTTCTCAGTAGCCCCGCCCCATTCATCCCCATCCTCCTGCTCCGGGTGTAGGTTCGGGCTGGCACCTCTGGCTCCAGCAACATTTCCCGAACCTGCCCTTGCCAAACCACCTGCCACGTTTCCCGAGCCGGCCCTTGCCAGACTTTGGAATGGGGATTTCGGCCCCACAGGGTACAAGGCCCCAAAACCTTTTGGTACAGAGACTGATTTAATAAACGGTAATTTGCCGAGTTTATTAGGTTTCGCATGTGCCAAGCCGTTGTTACCGCCGGAAGCAACAGCAGCAGCACCGCCACAAACACCACCACCAGCAGCACCAGCATCAGCAGCATCATCCCTTGCTGCAGCTTCAGCATTCGCAAGAGCTGCTGTGAGCGACTCAGGTGCTTCCACCTCTACCCCACCTGCGAGTTCAGCTGCTGCTACTCTCAGCAAGTAACTTTCTCGTGCCCCAAGGCCAGACCCTGCCTCTCCAGCACCTGAATATTCACCTGTGTAAGCGAATGCTCCTTCTGCTGCTGCTGCTTCCACGTCAGCAAGAGCAGCTTCTAAAGCCGCAGCTGCCCCTTCCTCCATTGCATCTGCTTCTGCAGCTGCGGCTGATGAAAAACGGTTGAGAGATACGTTGTTGCCTGAAGAAGCTGCGCCAGGCTTTTTCTCAAGTGCCCCATAGAACCCCAGACCAGGCCCCACTGCTGCGTCGGGTGAATCCTCAGGTGCCTCATAGTATCCAGAACCAGGCCCCACTGCTGCGTCAGGTGAATCCTCAGGTGCCGGTGCTTCTGGTGCTTCTCCTCCCTCTACTCCCTCTCCTCCCTCTCGCTCTCCCTCTCCAACACTCAACGCTGCAGTCATCTTGAGCACCTGTGCTTTCCACTGCTCCTTCAGCAATGCCTCATCTTCCTCCTCTTCATCTTCTCCCTCCCTCTCCGCCTCCTCCGCCTCCTTGCTTCCCCCCACTTTCCCACCCTCCTCAGCTTCCTCCCTTTTCATCCACCCCGTCTCCTCCCCTCCCTTCCCCCTCGCCCTCTCAGCCTCCTGCTCTTCGTTTTTTTCCTTGTTCATCCACCCATCCTCCTCGCTTTCCTTCCCCATTCCCTCCTCAGCTTCCTCTTTTTTTATCCACCTTGCATGCTCCCTGGCAGCAACGCTAGACGCAGTTTGAGGCGCCTCAAAACTAGCAGCAGAACTAGACGCATCTGCAGGCACGATAGCAGGGGCTGGGATAGCGGGTACGGGAGCAGGGGTAAGAGGTAGGGGGTCAGAAATAGCGGGTAAAGGAGCAGGGGTAACAGGTAAGGGGGCGGGGGCCGCAGGCAGTGAGGCAGGGGTAGCAGGTAGAGGCGTAGCAGCAGCAACAGGAGCAGCAGCAGCAACAGGAGCAGCAGCAGCGACCAGAGCAGCAGCAGCAACAGGCGTAGCAGCAGCGACAGGAGCAGGCGATGCAGCCATGGGAGCAGCAGCAGAAGAGGAAAGGGGCGGGATGGTAAGAGGGAGAGCGTTTTGGCTCCCCAGGACCAGCTGAACGCGCTGTAGCTGTTCCAGCAGTTGCATCTGCAGCAGCTGAAGCTCCTGCATCGTCGGCATTCCTCCTCCTCCTGCTGCTGCTGCTGGCGCTGCTAGTGTTGCCGCTTCTGGAGATGTTGCCAGTGCTGCTGCTGCCAAGGGTGGTGTGGGTGGTTCTGCAACGGCTGGTGGAGCTGCAGGTGCTGCTGGTTGTGCTGCTGAAGGCACTAGCTTCGCACCCGTTCCTGCCGCGTGTAAAGCTAGACTTGTCAAGTGTGCAGCCACGCTGCTGGAAACATTGCGACTGGCAACTGCGCTGTTCATAACAGTGTCACTGGTAGTGGTTACCGTGTAACTGGTAACAACAGTCTTATCAATAACTTTATCATTGATAAAGTTGTCCCCAACGATGCTTTCTGAAGCGGCTGCATCATCGTCAGTGGTGCTGCTGCCACTATAGATGGGTGCCAAAGTCCCTCCGATGCGCCCTCCCATACCCATTTCTCGCCCCATTTGACCATGCATTGAGTGCGGCGGCTGTTGCTGCTGCTGCTGCTGCTGCTGCTGCTGCGACAGTTGCCGCTGCTGAGTGGTGCTGCTGCCACTATAGATCGGTGCCAAAGTCCCTCCGATGCTCCCTCCCAGGTCTCGCCCCATTTGGTAATTCCTTATTTGTTGCTGCTGATGCTGCAGCTGTTGCTGCTGATGCTGCAGCTGTTGCTGCTGATAAGCCAGTTGCTGCTGATTCTGCTGATGTTGCTGCTGTTGCTGTTGATAAGTGGGTTGCTGCTGTTGCTGTTGATAAGTGGGTTGCTGCTGTTGCTGTTGATAAGTGGGTTGCTGCTGTTGCTGCTGATAAGTGGGTTGCTGCTGTTGCTGTTGATAAGTGGGTTGCTGCTGTTGCTGCTGATTGTGCCGCTGTTGCTGCTGTTGATACATAAGCTGCTGCTGCTGCTGCTGCCGCTGCTCCTGCTGAAGCCTTTCATTCAAGCCTGCAGTCAACACCTGCTGGCTTGCCCCAGGCGGCTGCTGGCTGATTCCTGACGGCCGCTGGCTGAGTCCTGACGGCTGGTGGTTAAGTCCCAACGGCTGCTGGTTTGACCCTGCGGATGACAGCAGGCTATCACCTGACGACTGCCGACTCATTCCTGACGGCTGCTGGCTGAGTCCTGACGGCTGGCGGTTCGACCCTGACGACAACAGGCTATCACCTGACGACTGCCGGCTGATCCCTGACAGCTGCGCTCGCACACCGTACTGCTGAGGCCACTCACCGTTCTGAAGAGGCCTCCCACCGTACTGTTCAGCCCTCTCACCGTACTGCAGAGGCCTCTCACCGTACTGCATCCCGTGCGCATGCTGTACCCGTCCCCTTCCCGAATCACCTCCAGATGACTGCTGGCTAGCCCCTGAACCTTGACGTCCCAGGCTGGTCTGAGGCGTCACGGCAGTTCCGTAGCTTGCTGCTCGGCCGCTGGCTTTCTTTTTGAATACTTGAGTGTATCCGCCATCCTCATCCCCGTTATTAACCGCCCCGTTTGCGCGGGTCTTTCCAGGAGCGAGGGCGGGAGTGGCGGAGGATTTGCTTTGCCAGTCGCCGAAGGAGGGGAGGGCCACGCTAGAGACGGATGCCTGAGAGCGGCGGAGGGGGAAAGCGGAAGGGGGGAGGGGGAAAGCGGAAAGGGGGAGGGGGAAAGCGGAAAGGGGGAGGGGGAAAGCGGAAAGGGGGAGGGGGAAAGCGGAAAGCGGGAGGGGGAAAGCGGAAAGGAGGAGGGGGAGAGGGGAGTGGGGAGGGGGAAGGGGGAGGGAAGGGGGAAGAGAGGCGAGTCGGAACAAGGGGAGGGGAAAGGGAGGAACGGGGGGTGAGGAGAAGGAGAGGGGAGAATGGACAGAGACAATAACAAGATAGTTCAGGGGGGTTTCGAGAGAAGAGAAAGGTCGTTTCACGTTTCAATTTCTTGTTGTTTTGACGCAAGATGGACTAAAGAATGGCACAAATTCGAGCCACTTAACAAGAAAAACTAGGTCGGACGATTGTGAGTCAAGCATTTATTTATGCAGGATGTTCTTAGAAGGGTTTTCGAAGAGGAAGTAACAGCAAATGGCGAGATTTTTTTGTTTTTTGGGTGAAAAAAAACCAAAAAACCAGGTCCAACAGTGGGAGCAAAAAAGTAGTGTCTGACGGGAAACGATTAGTTCTAGGTCGTCTACCCTCACTGTTTTCGCTCTTAAAACTCATCGCTGTCGCTCGCTCTTTTATCACATTATTCTCGCTTTTGTAACTCATTTTTGTCGCTCAACTATCTCATTATCTTCGCTCTTGTATATCATTCTCGTCGCTCTTATTACTCGCAACTGTTGCTCTGCTGGGTCAGTTAGCTTCTCTTACCTTTCCCTTAAGACGATTCTTGAAAACGATGCCTCCCTTTTTACCGCTGACGTGGCTGTTGACTGACTCGGAGCTTTCACTGGAAGTGACGCTTCTCGATTCATCGTCCATGGCTTTGACAGGAAATGACACGTGGCTGTGGATGTAGACACAAAAACTTTGGAGAATGACACGTGGTTTGTCAAAGAATATCCCTTGAAATCAAGAACGAGGCTGTGACCAGGTTCCTAGCACCAAGTAAGTAGCTCACGCGTGGAAAAGCAACCACATGCTGGAATGCGGGGAGTAACCGAGAAGCGAGCTAGGATAGAAAACGATGTGACCACTGCTTCCTTCCAAGCAGAGCGGACACACGGAAGAGAAACAGACAAGTGATGGTTGATAACTCGATAAAGAAGCTTAGGAGTGATTTGCTGAGCTGAGTGGAAGCGAAGCGACAGTGGTGTTAGTGTTGTGTCGCTTCGCTGAGGGCGAAAGAGAAGAAAGGAACCTGGGCGATGTTCGGCAGCCCAAGGGATCCAGCGAGGGATGAGTCGAGGCATCGGCAGGCACACGTGGGGAAAGCTGACGATTGGTCGTTTGGAGTCAAGCCAATGCAGTGTTCCCTATGTGCGCCGGAGCGGACACCATCGGGCCACCCATCAGCCTTGGGAGATACGCGGTCTGTAATGGACGACAGGAGGAATCTTGCCAGTATCGAGTACGAGAATCGATTGGTTACGATCTTTCTGTACCGTCACGCAACTTGATACGTGAGGCTTATACGCGATGTTGCTCTAACGAAATACAGATTTTTAAAGATGGGAAAATATCACGAATAGGTGCATGGCATAATTTCTCAAAGGAAAAACATAAGCCAAGTGTTCATATTCAACTTTCATATTTATGTCCGCATTCATTAAGCTGGATGTTTCGAGGCGCGTCTCGTTGAACTGAACGCGCGTAACCTAAGATACGACCACCAGCATAAGCGATGCGCCGACTTTTCCAGTCGCCCTCATCGCTCCCTCGCCAGCAACGTCGCACTCCAATAACCAGCGGTCGTTCGTATCGCACAAGCCGTGCGACACGCTTCAACGCATTCTTCTTCCTCCTCGTTCTTTCGCTCGGCGGCTCGCTGATTCTGCTCTGGCGACTGCAGCTCCAGCAGCGGTCGGTAACGGATGACGGGAACCGTTTAACGCTGTCGGAAAAAGTGACTGAGACGAACGTAAATGCAGGGAAGGCAGGGCAAGCGGAGAATAAGGGTTCTGGTAGCACCGGCAGCAGCAGCAGCAGCAGCAGCAACACCGCTAATGGAGGCGACAATAATTTAATTACGCCTTTATTAGATGCTGACGCTGATGACGATTACGATGACGGGGATTTCTTATCCCTTGGATCCACGGATGCCACGTCAGCAGGAGTTGAGGAAGGAGCGGGAGCAGCAGGCAAACGAGCCGCGATTGGCGGAGAGGATGAGAAATCTGCTGATTCGATTCGCAAGTACGAGATCTGCAAGAGGTTGATTCAGAGGCCGCCGCTTGTGTGCGCGCATGGGGGCGATTCGTTCTCCGCCCCTCCCAACTCAGTAAGCCCTTCCCCCACCCCGCTCCCCCTTCCGCCCCCCTCTCCCCTTGCCCCACTTTTTCCACCCCGTCCCCCCCGCCTCCGCCCCTCCCAACTCGATAAGCCCTTTTCCGTTTCCTTTTTTTTTTTTTTAATCTTGTGAGGTGGGAAAAAAAGGGGAAAGATAGAGGAAAAAGGGGGAGGGGGAAAAAAATATCTTCATCCCGCACCATCCCCGTTGTTCTTGTTGCTTCAGAATTTCCCTTTTATTTTCTTTCTTCTGTTATGCCTGCCCGTCTGCCAGCTGGCAGCGCTCGAGAGGGCGGTGGCGGCGGGGGCAGACGCGGTGGAGGTGGACGCGTCACTCACTGCAGATGGACACCTGGTGGCACTGCATGACAGGTGAGAGGGGGGAGGGGGGGAGGTTTTCCGATAGGTGTGTGTGCCGGTACAATGTGGTGGGAATGGTGTGGTGTGCGGTAGTACGAGTGCGTGTGGTGTCTGTCTGGCAGATGCGGTGGAGGTGGACGCGTCACTCACTGAAGATGGACACCTGGTGGCACTGCACGACAGGTGAGAGGGGTATCTCCCGGTATAGTGGGGTGTAGGTGTGATGTGGGGCAGAAGCGGTGGAGGTGGACGCGTCACTGATGGCTGATGGACACCTGGTGGCTTTGCATGACAGGTGAGAGGAGGAAAGGGGTGTCTGTGCTGGTACAATGCGGTGCAGAGGTGTGTGATGTGATTTGTGCCAGTATGACATGTGGCGGAGGGAGGGAGGGGGGGCTGATGTGGTGGAGGTGGACGCGTCTCTCACAGCCAATGGACACCTGGTGGCGCTGCATGACAGGTGAGAGGCGTATCTGCCGGTATAGTGCGGTGTAGAAGGTTTGGTGTGGGGCTAATGCGGTGGAGGTGGACGCGTCACTTACAGCTGATGTGCACCTGGTGGCGCTGCATGACAGGTGGGAGGGAAAAGGTGTATGTGCCGGTACAATGCGGATATTGTAACTGTTGATGAGCACCTGGTGGGCACCTGGTGGGCACCTGATGGGCACCTGGTGGGCACCTGATGGACACCTGGTGGGCACCTGATGGGCACCTGATGGGCACCTGGTGGGCACGTGATGGACACTTGGTGGACACTTGGTGGCAATGCATGACATGGTCGCCTCTTTGCCTGCTTTGCTCGCTTTCTCCCCTCCCTCCTTGCTCCACCAGGGATGTCCAGTCGCTCCTCAACGACCCATCAGCACGGGTCCCCTCCCTCGTCTTCTCTCAACTACTTCACCTCGACTTATCGCCTCTGTTCTGTGGCCTGCTCTGCTACCTCTCCCCCCCTCCGTGCTCCCTCCTTGCTCCACCAGGGATGTCCAGTTGCTCCTCAACGACCCGTCAGCAAGAGTCCCCTCCCTCGTCTTCTCTCAAATACGCCGGCTGGATTTATCGCCTCTGTGGCCCGCTACCTCTCCTCGCGATGCTGCAACGCAGCAAGTTCCTGTTCTCACGCTGCAGCAGGCTCTGCAGGTACGAATTCCCCCTCAATTTCACCTCAATTTCACCCTCGCTTTTCCTCTTACCACCCTTCTTCCCCCTCCCTTTGTTCCCCCCCACCTCTCGCACCCCGCTCTCCCCTTCCTCTTTTTCCACTCCTTTCCTCCTCCCCGGTCATTGTCAACAAACTTGAAACGCGTCAATAAAAGTGCATTCTTGTCCGCCCCTTCTTCCCTTGTCCCTCTTTTGCACTTGGGATGACGTGGCAGGCTCTCATTGGCCGAGTGAAGCACATCACCGTGGACGTCAAGATTGCCACGTCAGCAATCGCTGAGAACAGGCACATGGCACAGCGGCTTTTGAATGTGGTAAGTAAGCTTGATAGTATCCATTTACTGCCAGACCAGAGAACCATTTAGGATAGATCCCAAATTTCTGCAATCCAATACTCCTTTTCTTCTTGTCGCTGATTACTTTCCCCTTGTCCTACTTGTTTGTTTCTTTGGAACTGATTGCAGTTTGAAAGGGTCGGTGGGTGTGCCGAGTGCCTTGTGTGGTCCAAGGAAGATCAGTTCATCCGCCACTTGTCGCGCATCCAGCCGTCCATCAAGGTGAGCCGATCTGGGACGTTAGTGCATGTCTCGTTTTGCTGCTAGCAGTTCTCGGCCTTTCACTTGAACTGCAAGCAGGCCATGTGAAATCTCAAACAGGGTACATACAGTGTAGAGGAAATTCAAGTCTGGAGTGGTGAATGGGGTGACTTGACAGGCGTCTTGTGCAGTTACCACGGTATCTGCACTTTACGTGCATGCATGTGCTTCCCTTGTGTGTGGCACAGGCAGACTGGGTACATAGTGTGGAGGAACTTCAAGACTGGAGTGGCCAATGGGTTGACTTGACAGGCACGTTGTGCAGTCACCCTAGTATCTGCACCCCATGTGCATGCATGTGTTGTGCTTCCTTGCGTGTGGCACAGGCAGACTGGGTACATAGTGTGGAGGAACTTCAAGACTGGGGTGGTCAACGGGTTGCTGCGTCGTGAGTCGTCGCATGTGGTGGGACTGGCAGAGAGCCTGGCTACACTACAAACCGTTAACGATGCCCATAAGTAAGTTTGGCGGCTGTTTTGGCTGGTTTCAATGTGTTACGATGATGCAGAGTCTCGGTGACCTACAAATTCTCCTCTTCACGGGAGTGCGTCTGTTCATAATTAGCCATTCGTTGATCCGAATTCCCATCATTTTTCACTGTCGTATACCTCTCTACCTGCAGGGGAGGCAAAGAGGTGCATGTGTGGACAGTGGATGACAGGGCAGGAATGAGGAGAGTTCTAGGGTTGCCTGTTGATGTCGTTGTTACCAATAACCCAGTGCTGCTTCGAAAGACAATGAGGCGGCTCCAGAATCAGTGTAAGCATGCTGGCCTAGGTTAATCAACTTCGAAGTTTATGTGAGTGTTTCAGGAGCTTCTGATGCAGTTCAACACCTCCGTTTGGTTGGTATCAGCTTTTGGCAATAAAGGAAATATGCTGAATTTGCAGCTGGATAGTAATGCGTGAAGCCCCTGAAACACGCGGCAAGGTGATAATATGATTCCGTTGTGCAGCTCAGAGTGCAGCCCATTCTACATTTAGATCAGGTTATCTGCCCCCCCCATTCACATGGTTCAATGGAAGGCCAAGACGCTAACGACTCAATACAAACCAAGCGTGCAGCTCACCAATAAGTGCAGCTCCGATTACGAGCAACCATACCAGTGTTCGAAATTATTAAGCTTCCGAACACAATCCACACTTATGTACATCAGTCTTGCACTGACGACACACATCAATTAGCTCACACGGAATTTCTTGCCCTCGCACCCAGTCCATCCAGTGTTGGACTAGGAGAACTGAGTTGAAGGAGCTGGACAGGATAGTAAATGGTGGCCTTTCGAATATTTGACTCAGTAGGAACCTTTGATGTATTCACTCAACCGTTTCACCTCCTCACGATGCTCCTCCACGACAGCAGCAACCACGTCGCCAATGCTCAGCATCCCTTTCATCTTCTGTCCCTCAACCACGGGAATGTGGCGAATTCTTTTGTCTGTACCATAAAGAGCAGAACAAGAAGGTTTATGTCAGAAAACTGCTGGTTTTCAAGTTCGGTCACCTTTGCTGTTTCTTGCACAGGGAACATGGTTTACTCACCCGACATGATCTCCATGGCCTTGAGCAGCCGTGTCTCCGGTGTGAGAGTGATAAGCTTATTCTGCAATGTCATGACAAATAAGATGGTTACCGTATGTCAGATTTTTTGCTCATCATCCTGGTAGTAGACTACTTATTTCAAGCTTCTGTGCACATACCTCGTCAGTCATGATGTCGCCAACTTTTGTGGTCTTCGAAGACCGACCCTGTACAATGATTTTCCGGAGGTAATCTGTGACGCAAATTCAGCATGATGAGTGCATGTCAGCGAAAGAGAAATGAACAACAAGCAGCCAAAGAAAGGTGATGTAAACATGCTCCGCGCATTCACCTCTTTCAGTAACAATTCCCGCGATCGTCCCGCTCGTGTCTGGCCTCATCACCAAAAGCGCACCGACGTTGTGGCTTGTCATCTGCAACCATGAGCACGAATCCATCAGTGAGACGACATCGTAGGCTAGCGATTCCCACCGAAAACATGTCAGAACGGTAAAAAAACAACGAAGCTTGAGAAACCTCACCGATTTCACTGCATCGAACACGGTATCGTCCGTGGTGCACCAAAGCCACGAGCCGTCATTGCCGGCTCCTCGAGCCCTCAGAAGGTCTGCGATTGTGGCCTGCTCGAATGGCAGCTGCTCCTCCTCTGACGACTCCGCTGGGTTAGTGGTGTTTGTGAACGATCTGTACGGAGCAGCTGAACGAACCCTCAGCGAAACTCCCGCTCGGCTGCCAAGAACACGGAGAAGTGAAGCCATTGTTCAAGGCTGAGCGACAGGAGACGGGACTCGTGAAACCGGAATCTCCAAAGAAAAAATACCAGGACAACCACGAAAGAAAAGCCTGAGAAGAAAAGACCACTTCACAGGCGGTTTTGCCTGGTGGTGATGTTTTTTCAGGCCTGCCTACACTAGACCAAGGTTGTGACAGACTGAAATTCCTTGGAGCTGAATGTGAGCTTGTAGGGAGCAGAGAAATCGAAGCTTTGGGAAGAGCTGGCATGCACACACAGAGTTACAGGGCCAGGAGGAGCTTGTGGGGGTCTTGGTTCGGTAAGGTGGGGAGGTCTGACTTAGCTTTGGGCTTTGACGAGCCTGATGCGAAGGTATGAGGGTTTGTTCTTCCGCACGTGCTAATTTCTTGCCAAATCATAGGCAGGAAATGCCAGGTCCGATAATGAGTTGATCCGATGTGGATGAGGCCGATAAGTGGTTCTTTGAGTGTGCCACGCATGCTTGTGCCAGCTCAGACTCAGCAGTTTTTTTCTCGATACACGTTAAAGCGTTCATAGCGTTTGATTAGCCTGGAGTACACCGCCGTAAGATTGACGCTCGTATATTGAGGGAGTACAAGTATCGTCGACTTTTTGTAACAGTCGTTTAGCGTGGTGTGAGGCCTCCACGTGGCTCGGCATTTCCAAGAATCTGGCCTCCTCCTCAAATGGGTTCTGTCGGTTTATGTACGGTTGATCTGGGTTGACTGCTGGTTCACGAATCTAGCACTTGTGTGACGGAATTCCAATTTCCATCACCTTGCCCTCCCTCTAGCATTCAATGAAATTCACTGCCTACCTTACCATTTCTGTCTAGACTGCTGCGGTTTTATCACGATTCACAATCTCTTGTTGTTTGAATTATGGATTCCTTGTTCCACTGCAGTAATTCAGTCCTCCATCCCGCACCGCAGCACGCTTTGCGATGCCGCATTTCAAGACAAGCAGCATTACGAGCACCCGTCTCCCGCCTCGCTAGTAGTTTCGGACCTTCAACATTTGTCGGCAAGGTTCACGAGAATAGGCAAGTTACGAGGAGGTTAAGCGCTCGGCTAGGATTGCACGCCTGCCGAGCTGCCTCCTCGGATGGTTCATCTGCTTCAGCCGAAGACGAGTCACCACAGGCAAGGAATTCGTACGCATGACAAGCAACAACGCATCAGTCTGCATATTCAGCAATGCCGCTTATCTATATAAGTATGTTAACGATAGTCTCATGATTTCATTCAACCGTTTTTAGATCGTCTGTATGATGTGCCTTGGTGTTGACGTGTACTCTCGCAGGTGCCTCGTCCAGCGCGGCGAGTCTCCGTTCCCGATTCCGTTGATGAGAGCGTTCAGCAGGTGAGTCAGTTTCAGTGTAGTTAATTTCTTGAGGGGATGCAATAGCTGTTGCTGTGAGTGTCAGCCACTGTTTTTCACTGCTACTATCCTAGTCAGCTCGCAATTATCTCTGTACCAACAGCTTCACCTGCTGCCAATGCAGTTGTGCTGCTCGTTAGCACGATTATTCAATTAGTGATGTGATTCACCTGCGTCTTGCTTATCTTTTCAACCTGGGCTTTCAGGCTCGAGCAGCAGTAAGGAGGGCGAGGGAAGCAGGTCATCAACGTCTGATGCTGGACCTGCTCTTGCCGCTCATTGGCCCTTCACTCCTGGACGACTGGCCTGTAAGTCAGTCAAATTCAGGAGTGGTCTTGAGACATTTACAACTTGTGCAGGGTGTTCCCGAGAAATTCAAAAGACACCCCCTTTTCAGAATTCAAACGACACCCCTTTTCACACTAAGATGCTGGACCTGCTCTAGCCGCTCATTGGCCCTTCAACCCCCAAACGACAGGTCCATAATTCACCATAAGTTTCAAACCATACGAACCCTAGTCTCACACTTTACATCTCCATTATCAACAGAATGCCTTTTGCCTGAATCCCCCCTGATGATCTCACAGGGCGGCATTCAACAGCAGCTCCAAGCGGCCATTCCTCTGGTGGAATCGCTGCTCACTGGGCTGGTGGACGGTGGGGAGCTGTACACGCGGCGGGTGATAGATGAGGATGAGGCAGTGGTGGCGTGGGAGAGCAAGACGGTAGGTACTTCCAGGCGCTTCAACACAAGAAGGATGCATGCTGCTGTGCGGTGGTGTGGTGTGGTATGGTGTAGTGTTTAATGTGAATCGCCTGAGGGCCAACCTGTTTCTTGCTGCTGGACGCATCCTCATCATGAAACAATAAGTTTACGTGCCCACCCCCCCTTCCCCCCACCGCGCCCCCACCCCCCTCCCCCTCGCCCCCTTCCCCCCTCCCGTGCCCGCTTCCATTTTGTGGGTCATTTGCGTCTCTTTCGCCCAACCAATTCGAAGGTTGCACTTGTGCTCTTCCCAACAGCCGAGCGCCTGCCAGCTGTCATGGAGCTGGCCAATAGTGAGCCAGAGCGCACGCTGCTGCTCATGAATCCGCAGTGGCAGCCAGGCCAGGTGGGTTGGTTTGTCCGCTTTGTGCACGCATGTGAAGACACAGTTCCTGTTCTTCATTGCGAGGTCCATCTGTTCGGTGGGTTGGTCTGTCTTTTTGTGCATGCATGTGAAGATACAAATCCTGCATTCATTGCAAGGTCCACCTGTTCGGTGGGTTAGTCTGTTCGATTGTGCATGCAAGTGAAGATACAGATCCTGTAATTCATTGCAAGGTCCATCTGTGCATGAGAGTGGACATGGATTCTATTCTTTGCGCTCCATCAACTTTGATTTCGCCTTTCCTGAACGTGTGAACTCCTGCATGCAGGTTGTCTCAGATTTTGGATTTGGGAGCAAGCGCAAACAGGCAGAAGAGTTTCTAGACACCTTCCTCACTGCCTACAGTCTGAAGCGCAACCGCATCCGCTCGTATGATGTCACTCTCGTCAAGTGCTTCCCGGGCGATTGGCAGGTGCGCAAGAGGGAATCAATTGTGCACCCTTTTCCTTTTTTTTGTTTTGTGAATGTGTTCCGCTCCTCCTCTCCCCCTCCCCCCCCCCCCTTTCACTCCGTAACCTGCCACATACTCTGATGTCCTACTTTTGCACTCCTTATCCATCAGGTTTACATGTCGGATGACAGTGGTAGTGGGTCTGATAGCTCTTTCCCAACATATGAGATGATTGGGACAGTGGAAAATCGGCCAAGTTATCGTGACCTTGAAGCGATGGTGCAAAAAAAGAGCAGTCAAGGGAGCGATTCAGGTGGATGGTTTGGGCGCATTGCCAAGGAGATCGAGTTCCTAAAGCGTTCCAAGTGACTGTCCATGCTTTTAGCTTTAATATATAACAGCTAATAGATTATGTGGCCAGAATGTTGCAGTAGAGATGGATGTTATGCCTCTAACCCAATGTAGCTAACACGCCAACGGATGCAGATGCTATAAAATTGCGAGAGGGTTATGATTTTAGAAAGCTTGCCTTCTTGTTGTAGCAATGGCATCGTCTCATTTCAGATGGCAAAGTACAGACATGTCCGAGCTAGCATGCAATTATTCTAAAGCAATCAACTATCCATGATTGGTCCCAGTTCTACGCGGTGGGTGGGCGGGGAACTAGGCTAAGCCGTTTGCAAATGAAAGACGTGGGTGGAGGGAAATGACCTCCAGCCCACGTTTGGTACTCCAAAACGGGCGTTTAGCGCGGTTCGCCGATGACCATTGCTACATTACAAGCCGCTTCGCTTTCAAAATACAATTTTTTGAAAAGCGTTACATCTTTTTAAAAATATTCATTTTGATGTGAGGGTGTGTAAGGAAAATTCCTTTTCCTTACTTCGCGTCCCCGCTCAGCGCGTACACCACTGTAGCCCCACAGTCAGCACCATTACCACTCGCAACTCTCACATCGACAATCCTCCCGCCACCTCCGCACGTCGCACCCCGACCAAGGCTAATTTTTGGTTTAAAGCAACCCTTATCATCAGTCCTGTACCTTTGCAAAACCCTGATTATCAGTGTGACCCCTAGGGAAAATTCTTTTCCATCAGGGTTTTCCATAGTTTCAAGAAATTTACCTCTATGCCACAGTGTAACAATTTTGAATACCCTGATGAAGTGTGTCTACGGAAGTTCCAAAGAAAAACGTGAGGTTGGAATTCGATCTCGGACCATAATCATTCCGAAGTACAGGCTACGGACCGGGCCACTCGAACGAAAATATTCTGATAGCTCAAAAATAAAATTTAAAATCCATTCTACTGGGACAGCGAATGGGGGGGAGGGAGTTAGGGGGAAGGGGGTGAAGTTACGCGCTTCAGGGTAAAACTCGTTATGAAATCGGTAACACTGAGTCATCAGTGTGCCTTAAATGTAAACCCTGGCAAATCAGGAAAATTCTAGCTCCCGAAAAAATTACCCTAAGCCATCAGTGTGACTACCAAAAACCACCCTGATAATCAGGGTATCAGGGTGATTTACACTGATAAAATTTGCCCTGACCCCGACCCCACGGCTCGGCGGGTAACCCGCGCTCTGGGCCTCCGCTTCGACACTTTTCCCAACCTCAGTCCCAGGCCCGTCACGCGACAACCACAGCCCATTACCGTTACCACTGTAGTATTGCTATATATTCTTCGCTCATGCGTTCGCTCATTATATTCTTGCTTCGATAGTGCAATTCTCGTTCGTTCACTCAATTGCACTCGTAACACTTGGTATCAGAGCCTACGATCTCTTCTCGGACCGCACCCACACCTTCGCTTCCCCACTACCGGTATCTCAATTTTTGGGGGGGGGGTAGATGTCTCTCAGCGACACAGCACCGCCTCTCGCTGAGCTCGCCCGACACCCCCGCCATGGCCGAATTCACTCTTGCAACATTGACGCAGGAGCAGCATGACCATCTGGTGCGCCAAGTTGAAGATTCGGCGCTCAAAATTGCGACGCTCACGGCGGAACGTGACTCCGCGCGTCAGCAATCAACGGTGAACACTCCAGCGCCACCACACGCACCGACAAATGCATCTGCACAATCGGACGAGCCGATCGTCATTTCGTCCGGCACACCAACACAAAACAACAACGTGGGACAGCGCTCAGGCGCAGCCAGTGATGGCACCGCCCAACCAATGCCTGGCATGGGAGGAAACAGGGTCGCACCAAGCCCGCGGGAGCCTCGCGAAGCCCGTCAGCACGTGGAGTTCACGGCGACAAGTGGCGAACATGCCATTATGGCACAAATGCCACTCAAGCCCCAACGCCCGCCCTGCAGGCCTCACGTTTTCAGAGTAAATTACTCTGTTTCTCCGAAAATCAGAGTCATTTTTGAAAGAAACTTTGTACCCGCTGGGTAATTTTTTTGGGACTTCCGATTTCTCTGATTTGTCAGAGTTATGCTGTAGTTTACTCTGAGGCCTCTGGGTTTTTATTTCGGGGACCGAATTTACTCTGTATACGGAATACCTGCCGGCCCCCCCTCCCCCGCCCCCCTCCCTTCCCCACCTCCCCATGCGTTTAGCGGGTTTTTCCCTAAATCGTCGAGATCATTCTCCTGATTTCTGTCGTGTGTTGGCGGCAATATGAGCACTGATTGGCTACCGTAGTTCGACAACTTTCCCAACTAGCGCACGATGCCAGCCAGTCCCCTCTCTTTTTATGTCTGAAGTGAACGTCGACGTTTCCCGACGAAACTTCGAGGGACGTCGAGGAATCCTGATGGTCGGAATGCTCAATCCGAGGGTTGAGATTCGCCAGCATTCCCCGACGAAACTGTACATCCGTCGACATTTCACTTCAGAGACGCTCTTTGGGGGTGTCCGAAGTCAAACGTCGACATCCGTGGACATCCGTTTGGGGATGTCGGTAAATCCTGACAGTTGGAAGTGTCGATCCGAGGGATGACATTTACCGACATCCAGCGACATCTATTGACGTTTCACTTTGGACACGCCCTTAGTCAGATTATCGGTGCCGCCAACACCTCCCTCTGAGACATCGCAGTGAGGGGGGAAACGTGGGCGACGCGGAAATGCAAGTACAAAAGGCGTAACAAAAACCTATTAAGGTCATGGTACACCAAACTTAACTAACATCAGAGTAGAGAAAAATATTACTCTGGCGTGTCTGGGTTTTTTTTTTTTAAGTATAGGGTTACTCTGACAAATCAGAGTAAGGCGCAGGAACAACACTAGATTTCAGAGTTGGGAAAAAAACTACTCTGGAAATCAGAGTACCTAAAATCCAAAAATAGGCCCTACCGCCCTGCTTCGACCCAAGCCACCGTGGAGGTCCGACGGTTCAATCGTGGGTCTTCACGATGAACGTCTTCTTCGACGCGAATTACGTCGAGTCGGACGCAACGAAAATTCGGTATGCCGTTTCGCTGCTAAGGGGCCCCGCCATGGACTGGTGGCGAGTCATCGTGACGTCGCCATGCGCCTACGAGCCACCGTCGCAAGAGGAAGGGCCCACGGGTCCAGCTGTCACCTGTAGTTCATTCTACGAGACCGCCCAATACAGCACGTGGGATGCGTGGTGCGCAGGGCTTCGGGCGCGCTTCGAGCCGATCCCGGCTTCTATTTCGGCGCGTCAGAGATTGCGCACTTGGCGGTAGCTCGGGTCGGTTCAAGACTACACGAGCAGTTTTCTCGCATTATGCAAGCAGGTCGGCTACATGCACGAAGCGGAGCGAGTGGACCGTTACGTCGGAGGGCTGAAGCCGGACATCTCGCACAAAATGATGCTACGAGGGCTCTCGAACTTCAACGAGATTCCCGCGCTCGCCGAGAAAATCGACATTTTACGCCGTCCAAGACCGGGGTCCTACTACGGACATCGTCCTCGGGGATGTCAGAGGTCCACTGGTGATCCCCGATTGATCCTAGGGAAGGGTTACAGGCACGTTGGCCTGGGGGGTTATGGGCGCACTGACCCGCTACTTAACAAGCCCTTTTATCCCAATGGTCTAGTGGTTGGGATTCTGACATGGTATCAGAGCAAAGGTCTCGGGTTCGAATCCCGGTGTATGCACTTCGGGCATCCCAGTGCGGGGGGGTGTCAGAGGTCCACTGGTGATCCCCGATTGATCCTAGGGAAGGGTTACAGGCACGTTGGCCTGGGGGGTTATGGGCGCACTGACCCGCTACTTAACAAGCCCTTTTATCCCAATGGTCTAGTGGTTGGGATTCTGACAGCGGACCGCCCGAGCACGCCACGGTACACGCCGTTGCGTCGAACGCAGCTGCTGCGCCTTTTAAGGGGCGCTGCTTTGCTTGCAATAGGCCGGGCCATCGCAAGAGTGAATGCCCAGAGGAGCTAAGGCGCCGTAGAGCAGAGCAGGGGAGGGAGTCTCCAAGGCAGGGAAACGCCAGCAGTCAGTAGGAATCGGGCCAACTACTAACGAGACCACCTGCTCGCCCAACCCCACCGACCCTCAGCGAGTCACAGTACCGATTCATGCTATCGATCGGACTCGGACGAATAAGGAGGGTACATCGACGGATTGCCCAGTATTGATCCACGGGAAAATACAAAGAGCAACAGTGAAGATTTTTATCGACGGAGGAGCAAGTCACGGTTTAGTTAATACCGAAACCGCACGGAAACTGCAACTGACACTTAACTGTTGTTTACCTGAGGTAGACGCACGCTTAGTTGACGGCACGCCGCTGGCCATACGGGAGAAGGTGGAAAGAGCAAAAGTTCGCTGCGGGTGAAACTTCGAGTTTACATAGGAAATGCTCACGGCGACACTGGATAGGCACGACATTTTACTGAGACGTGATTGGCTGCGACGATACAACCCGAGAATTGACTGGACGACAGGAAGCTACACTGTGCGAAGTAATGGTAACTGGATCGAACTACCTCGCTGGCAGTCGCCTGAGTCTTCAACGGTCCACGTCAACGCCATCTCGATGAAACGAGCAGTCGCCGCTGGAGCTGACGTGTACGCAGTGGGCATTGCCGTAGTAGAAGAAGCAGAGCAGCCGATCGATTTTCAGAAATTGCTAGCAACAGTACCGCTAGAACTACAGGAACTGTTGAAACGATACCTCGGGATTTTTCCGGACGACTTACCAGAAGGACTGCCACCTCAGCGGGCACATGACGACCGCATAGAATTAGATCCGGGGGCACAACCAACTGTACAGCGACAATTTCGACTGACACAGCCAGATCTCGACGAACTGAGGAAGCAGTTAGATTACCTGTTAGAGAAAAAATTCATCCGATCGAGTTCGTCACCGTTCGCCGCACCGATACTGTTCACACCGAAAAAAAGACGGGGGTTTTCGCATGTGTATCGACTATAGAGCACT